TTATTTTCAAGATTTGGGTTAACGGTTTTAATTCTCCCTTTTCCATTGGTTAACCATTTTTCGGGGCGAACATAGCGTTCTTTTTTAGACTGTTCGTGTTTGTTGGAAATGGGAAAGGGTTGCAGTTTGGATCAAGGGAGAAATTATTGAGATCTTGGGGTTGCGATCTTGGGAATAAAAAATGTTGGTATGTAGCTTGGATTTTTTTGGTGGGATTTGTTGAGGTGGTATGTAGTTATGATTGTTGTTATTGAATGAGCATAGGGGTGATGTTGAGATGGGGTAAGAAATGAAGATGGGTATATGAATATGTGTTTTTTGGTGTTGGATTGGTTGGGTGATTGAATTTGAATGTTGAAAATGGGCTGTTTTAGTGGGCGTGTTCAGAATGTGCCCAAAAGTGTGGGGGGGACCCTAGGACTGGATGGCAAAATGCGGACGGGAAAGCCCCTGTCTAACTCTTTCACCTCCCCCAAAACTTGCTGATGCCTGGTGCTCAGCAGGGAATGAGAAAGGGAATGACCCCTATAAACCATCCAACTGGTGGATATGTTTAATTCAGGGGTCCCCTGATTTCATTCCCACATTCCCTACTGAGCACCAGCAAGCTTGTTTCCCCTCCAAACCCCAAAAGGGGAACCCTCACAAAAGACAGACCCTGTCGGCACCCTTACCCTTTCACCTCCCCCAAGATTTTGTCTTTTGTTGGTTTTTCCTAGGTCCCCCAGCTAGGTGGCCTTTGTCTCACCCGCTTTGGAGGGTTCCCCTAAAATAGACAGAAAAGGTGGTACCCTTATCCTAAGCTCTCTACCGGAGGACCCAGTTTCCCTTCCGGCTCAGGTGAAGAACCCCACGGACTCATGCTGCGGCTGCGGTGTTTGCTGCCTTCCCTTCTGCGGGAAATCGAAGAACTGGGAGACACGCCACGGCTGCCAACCCTCGGGCGGATACTGCCGCAAAGCTGCAGTTCGAATTGGGAAGACGGGAACGGATGGCAGACGTGGGGCGCTATTACTTTGGTTGGTTTTCCTTTTGGGTTCCCTGTAAAACCATACAAAACGGGCTACCCTCCAAGAAAGGTTTCAGAATATGTCGTGTTTTGCTGTCTTGGCTTCAAAAGGGAGCTATCTCTGCTGGAAACACGTTTAAATTATTTCTAGGGGACAAATAAGCAAATGGATTTTTTTGATTGGCTCCCTAAGGACACCCCGCGGAACGGGTCCCACCCGGATTCGGAACGGGTCCCACTCTTAGGGCTGATTCGCTTTGAGATCCGCGCTGATCGGCTGGTGGATGGTGTTATGTGTTTTTTTCTTCTGCGCAGTTGGGACCTATTCTAAATAAATAAATATAAATATAAATATATATATATATATATACACAGACAAGTATGGATCAATTGATGGGGGATTCATGCTGGGAGTGAGGTTCGGGGAGTCCGCAGATTCCAAGACTTCAGATTTCCAGCTGCCAGTTCAAGACTTGCGTGGTTTGCCAAGTTTACATGCCTTCTGTCTTGTTGGGGTGAGGCTTCATGTGAACTGTGGGGAATTGTCTGTAGTAAGAGCTTCGACTTTCGGGTTTTGAGGGGGACGACAGAAAGGCCTGTTGGAGGTTTTTAGCCAAAAAAATAGATCGATATGAGTCTAGGGTCTGGAAGGGATGTGGGGGACTCGCAAAAGCAAATCCCGCAAACGCCAGGGAGAGACTCTCTGATACTCCCAAGTCCATGGGGTTTGTCTTGGAGGCTCCCAGCCATCCGGTCCCTTAGCTTTTTAGATCCTTTTAGTGTTTAGTGGTAGTTTCCATTTAACCCACTAAAAGTGAGTCACTTTTAGCGGGGGATCTGAAAACGGGTAGCCCAGTTTTGAGAGCAACTCTGTGGCTCACAAGCTCTTTCGCCATCAGCTTGGAGCCAATGAAGTTCATACCAGGGCTCCTTAAAAGAAAAGCATTTGCAACCATTTAAAACATGTTGCTTTTTCAAAATCAGAATAACGGGAAACCACCATTTACAAGGCAATGCTCAGTTGTTTTTTTCTTCCCCGTAAGGATCCCTGTTAAAGTGCTCAAATACATGGATCGCTGGAGTTGTTTTTGTTTTTGGGGGGGGTCTTTTGCGGCTCAGCCGCAGCCGGGGATCCACGTCCTTGGCGTCTGTCAAACTCCTTGCCGGTGGGAAGGACCAGGGCACCGGCCGGGGGTTTCGAGTTGCGGCCGCCAGCCCAAAGTTGCCGCCAGCCCAAAGTCGAAAGCCTAACTCTTTTTCGGGGGAAGTAGATTCAGCTTGGCTTTTTGGAGGTTTTTAGTGGTGGTGTCCACTTCTCTAGGGGACACTTCCATTTCCATTCTTTCCAGGGATCCTTCTTTCCAGAAAACCATCAGAACCCCAGGGGACACAGCGATCGGTTTTTGAAAAGAACGATGGTTGAAAAGAATGGACAAGGAATCAACCCCTAGAGAAGTAGATGGCACAGCTCCACATGGTTTCATCTCCCCCCGTACGTCAGCTGCTCAAAGGACATCCGCTAGATCCTTGGGTTTAAAAAGGGGTGCCTTTGTAGTGGTTTGTACCGGTGCCTTTGATTGAGATTGGCCAACACTGCATGTTGAACAGCGCAGATAAACCCAGGGCTAGTTGACACCAACCAACCAATCAGCCAGCCAGCCGGCCAGCCATGCGAAGCAGACAGCCAGCCAGCCAGCCAGCCAGCCAGCCAGCCAGCCAGCCAGCCAGCCAGCCAGCCAGCCAGCCAGCCAGCCAGCCAGCCAGCCAGCCAGCCATGCGAACCAGACAGGCAACCAGCCAACCAAACAGCTCAGCTTGCAAGCCCAAAGGGACATATTTCACCCTGATGTAGTTTCCAGCTTTCGATAAGAAATACGGCTCTTGCAAAACCTGGTGGTACAGTATGTATCTGATTCATAGAAACCATGCAAAACGGGAGTTTCTGCAGATACCCTGATGAAGTAGAAACACAAAGATAATATTATAGATTGACTGAAGAAAGAGATAGCAAATATAACGAATATCAGAAACAAAATGATAAAACATATAATGATGAAAATGGTCAAACACAAGAAGATGCTCAACCACCACCACCCCTCGCCCCCCCCCCCCCCCTCAAAATAAATAAATAAAAAATGAATAACATAAAAAATAATAATATAAAGAGAGAGAGAGAGAGAGGGAGAAAAGAAGCAGAGTTTGCAGTGGAATTTCCAGTGGGTAGAAATGTTTTTGTTTAAGTCCTCAGCTCCGAAGAGAGCCTTTGGTTTCATGGCTCCGACTCGAGCTCTGGTTGGGGACCCCATGCTGGTAAAGGAAAGCCATCACTTGGGCGGGGGAAGGCTCAAACATCGATACGCCGAACTTGGGGGTGTCTTCTTTTGAGGGGAGTTTGTTATTCCATCAGAAGGATGGTTGGAATCAATCCCTAGAACTTCACCCACTCACTTTTAGGGGATCAGACAACGGGCAGCCAAGAAACCCAGAAAACGGCTCGTTTGGGGTCTTGGCAAGGTGGAAGCCTGAAAGCCTTTGAGAAGCCCCCTTCCTGCTGATCGGCGACACTGCTCTCTCGGTCAGGGGCGGCAGCCAAAACATGCCCGAGCTTCTGATTTTGGGGCTTTCTCGGTTTGTTCTTGGGGGGTTTACTTCTTAATGAATGGGTTTGTGAATTGCAGCACTTTGCCCGGATGGGCTTTGGATCCCATATTTAAGCAAGTTCGCCCAAGGAGGCTCACTTGTCCATTGCGAAAATCCGCGCGCGCGCGGCTCGCTTAGCTGATTTTGATCCGAGCTGGCGCAACCCCGGACGTGGAGTAAAATGAAAGAGCGGCCGCGGTTCCCAGCGGTCCAACTTTGACACCAAAGCAGTGAAACCAGTCTGATCAATCGCCCAAGGTGCCTTTCGTTGGCCAGTTGGGCTTTTCCAACCCAAAGAGAGTGAGAGAGAGAGAGAGAGAGAGTTATCAGAATTTGCCCAGATGGTTGTGAAGGGCGGGGTGACGGATTTCTACTTCTAGCTCAGGATCCCACCTGCTACACTTGGGACATCCCAGTGATGGCTGGCCATTGGCAGGGGCGCAACGACTAAACAGCAAGGGGGCTGGACCTTGGAGACAGAGAAGTTACCTTGGAACACCTGGCTCGACAAAAGCCTGCACCACTTTGAAACCATGGTTGAAACCATGACGTTTGTTGGTATTTGCAGGGGAATCATATCATGGATTTCGTAACCATGCACATTATGCAGGTCTTTTTTTGGGTGTCCCCCAACATGGCCTCGGTTACGAAGCCCTATGGCCAGTGCCACCAAATGGGATGCGAAACCTTCCGCTGCGGCTGGAGCCCTACCCCCGAGCTTGTTGAAGTCAAGCACGTAACCCCTCTCAGTTTAACTCAGGTTGAACCGTGGATTAAGGGCGGGGCCCGCTCCGCTCCTCATGTCGTGCCGCTTTTCGTGGACCGTGCCGTTTGTCTGCCCTCCCGTTGGCCTGCTGCGCACTTGCGATATTTTCCGGGCGTCGAAGGTATCTCAAAATTTGGGAATCCCCTAAAATGGCTGAGCTCCTGTTGGTCTCCCGACTTGGGATGTTCAAAGAATTTAGAAAGCATGGCCAGGCAGGCAGGGGATCCCAACCGTTGGGATCTTTGGCAGGTTGCGGCACAAGGAAAACGATCATACAAGGGCGTGTCTTGTTTTAGGAGTCGGACCCCCAAGATGGCGCAAAAGTTTTGTGCTTTTCTCATGGTGTCCCTTGAAATCCACAAAAAATGGGCCCAACTCCAAACAAAAACAGACCCATAAGGAGCTGAAGAGTTGCTGGTGTACTCCTGCAACCCTTCCCAAAAAACGGGTTTTCAAGTGCCATTGCCTAGGCCCTTATAGCAAAGGGGTTTAATTGTACAGAATGATAGTGCACGCTTGAGTTGGGTTGCGGATATACCAAACTGCCTTTTGATGCCAAGCTCGCTTGGCTGCTAGACTGCCCAGGAGCTGAAGAGGCAAATGCTTCAGAAGGAGGATGAGCTTCAGAGATACAAAGAGGAGGCGTCTCTTCTTGTCTGGGGGTGGCGTCTTGCTGTCTTCGTTGAGGGTGGGGTGGTGGGGGGGGGGATGGGTGGGGGATGAGGTGGATAGGGGGGGGATTGAGTGGTGCGGTAAACTATGGGGGGTGAAGTAAAGCTCTGGGTGTCGTGAACTGAACTGCAAAGGGGAGAACATTAAATGGATTGGGTCTCACCAAATTGATCCACATGCACATGTGTGGTTTTGTTGCCGTCCTTTCGCATGGGGCTGCGGAAACTGGTTTTGCTTGTGGCCGATGTACGTCTTGACCAAAGGACACCTGAACTGCATGCCAAGGAGGGGCAGAGGAGGTCGAATCGGTTGGAGTTTCACCCTACCGAACGTCTACGGTGGCTCGTCGTGTTTTGAGCACGCCCCTTGTCTTTGGTGCATTTTGCTTGGCTGTTAGGACTTTAACTTCTTGCCAACTGATGAGTTTTCCATTAAACCACTAAAAGTTAAAAACTTTTAGCAGGGGAGCAGAAAACAACAGAGTTTTTGTGGCCGAGTAGCGAGAACCAAAAAGGAGAGCCGAAATCCATCTGGGGTGTCCCCTAAAAGACAGGCACCCACATTGATGAGTCCTTTTTTTGGGACCCCCTCTCATTTGGGTTTTTAAGCAGAAGCTCAAAGGAGAACCGTTGGTTTTGAGACATATATTCATATAAAGTATTATAGTATATATATATATATATATATGTATATGTGTACATATACACATGTACTTGGAGGGTTCCCCTACCAAAATAGACTACAACAAAAAGGGAGCCCTTATTCTAACCTCTCGACTGGAGGACCTAGAGGCTGACGCCGGGTGTCCCCTTTTAGTCATCATTTTTGGGACGCCCAACAAAAAATCCGCCGTACCGTTTCGACACGTCCCGTCTTCCGACTTTCACGGACGGACGAGCCCTGCGGGGTCGGTTTTTCTTCTTTTTTTCAGGCCCGGAAGAAGGACGAGCGCATCGCCCAGCTGAACAAGGAGCGCGAGCACAATGTGACTTGGCATCCATTGGCTGAAATGAGCATGTGTTTATTATTCTCCCTGGCTGGTTTTAAAGGGAATCTATCACTACTGGACGTATTTTTAATAACACATTTTTTCCAGGGGGCAGAAACGCAAATGGAAGGCTGTCAAGTTTGGTGGGTTGGAGTTTTCATGGAAACAGCCTTTCCACCGTTTCCACTTGTGGGATAAACAAGCAGCCCCCCTGGGTAATCTAGAGACCCTTGAAAAAGGGCGGTTCATTTCAGAAAAGGGACACCTGGAAATATGGTTTGGATTTGGGTTTGAATACCTGGCCTATAGGTTTAGGGCAGATGAGAATCCGCCAACCTCGAAACCGCCGGGCTCCAAACCATTGGGAGGCTGATTGATGCCCAGATTTGCGGTGCTGCCCTTTTTAGCTTGGTTTGGTTTGGAAACACCCACGAGGCAAAAATCATTTTGGGGCCCCCCCAAGTTTGAGACATGCCAATATGGACGTTTTTCAGACCTCTAGAGTTTTGAAGGATTTGTCACGTCCCACTAAAACCTTTCCTTTCCCGACTTATCCTCCTGTCCACTAACATTAAACCACTCAGGGGTCCTGGTTTTGACTATTCCTTTCAAAGGAGACCCTCTCGTGGGTACCATGGCAGCGTAACTTCCCTTTTTAGCCGGTCTAGGTCCCTCAGTGCTCTTCTCTCCCTTTTTTTGGTTGGGAGGGTTCCCCTAAAATAGACTGCAGAAAAAGCAAAACATCGGGTACCAACTTAGTCTAACCTCTCTACTGGAGGACCCAACAGTTGTTTTTTTTTATTTCCAACATCTTCAGCCAGCCAAAAAAAAGTGTACCCCAAGCTTCAGCCCTGGAAGCCCCGGACCAGACTACGCCTTCTGCTCATATCAGACTCGTCAACTTGGCTAAAACAATACATGTGTATGGCTCAAAATTAAAGAGCTGAGGTTACGCGGGTTTTAGTCTTTGGTTTCATTTAGCAAGGTGTCATTTTGCTATCACTTTTTTTAGCTACAGCCACATCCCGTGGGATATCCCAAATCGGACTTGATATTTGTTTCTTTGGGGAAAGCCGTTCTGGTGGAAAAAAGTCCAGAATTCTTGGCCAATCCACTTGGAGTGAGCATATCCCACTAGATTCATGAAGTTTAAACTCTCAAGCTAAGTTAAGATAGTTAAGGGACTAGAGTTCATAGTTTCGAGTTTCAAGTGTTGCTTCCCTTTCTCCTTTGTTCTGGAGGCGGGCCCCCCTTGAACATCAACCAAACACCTGGTGTCCGTTCTTTTTCCCCATGGAACTCAATTCACTGGGAGTCTAGGTCTTAATGTTTCTTCCTTTCGGCGGGAATCCGTCACTTCTGTGCCCCCCTTGGATTGGACGGGTTGATTCCGAACTCCCCACAGGTTTCTCCCTTTCAGCGAGCGGAAACAACTCGACCCGGTGAAACCCACGTGAGCATGGCATAAAGAGACTCGAGGTGTCCGAAGGCATGTGGCTCGGTAAGCTTCAAGTTGGAACCCCTGGGTTGAAATTTGGGAAGCCGAAGGGAAGAAACTCGCTGGGCTCGTCGTTTTTGGGGAGCTGGTACCCTTTGCTGGTGGTTGTAGAGGGACACCAAAAGCAACAATACCATCTTGGGGATCCCGTTAAAAGATGGAGACATGCCCGCCTTCATTTTATGGACCTTCCCTTTGGAGACAAAGCCATGCACTTGCTTTGCCAAGGTGAAGGAGATCCGACAGCGGGACGGCACCATCGGGGACAAGGAGGGGAAGATCTACGAGCTCAAGAAGCAGAACCAGGAGACATGCTTCGCTTGCTCAAAGTCCTCCCTTTGCTGAAATGATTATTTTTTTTGAATAATTATTATTATTATTATTTCCCCTTGTTGGTTTTAGAAGGAACTTATCACTACTGGACATATTTTCTCATTTCTTCCAGGGGTCTTAACCAAATGGAAGGAGATTCTTAGCTTGCTCAAAGTAAGTCTTATGTTCAGACGTACTCTCCAGATCCATTTTATTTGCGTAGCTCTTCGAAGCGAATCAGCCTGCTTGCCAATGGGGGCTTGGAATATGCGTCAAAGGAAAGCCCAATTGAATACTTCACTGCCGAATGAGGTGTCGTTTGCTGGTTTGGTTTGGAAAAGGGGGGTGATGCTAAGAACAGAACGGGACGCTCAACGCGAGCAAGAACACTGAAAAAACAGGGCACGCCGGGCGTCCCGGACTCAAAAAAGGGGCGGGTTGGTCTCTTTTTGGCTCCCTTCGAATACCAACCACACAGGGTGTCCGAATCCCATTTTGAGAACCTTCCAGTCGTTAAGGCGACCATTTTCCAAATAACGATTCACATCCAGATGGGCAGCTCGTCTTTTCTTGAGTTGTCGCCTTTTTGGTTGGGGGGTTTTAGGGAAGCCGAAAGGAAACCCACCATTTCGGATTCTATTTGGACTACCCATGAGGAGCTAGAACCCCGGTGTCCTTTGCTTAGTTTGGATGTGTTTTATAAGCCATGTACGAGGGCCACATGTTTTCCAACAGGTGCTTAAGATTATTTTCCAACAACGCCGTCCTGGTTTGTTTGTTGCTAGTTTCCCTTTTTGGTTGTAAAGGGAATCTAATACTGTACATGTTATTTTTTCCAGGGGCCAAAAAGCGGGAATGGAGCTAGGGGGAAGGGTCAGGGTTGGTGTTCCTACTGGGTTTCCAACTGAAAGACGACTCACCCACGGCTGGTAGAGATGGGAGATGGGTGCCCCATGTATAAAAGGGATGTTCCAAAGACGTCAAGCCATCAACCCTTGTGGGAATGGGCCATCGCTGCGCCTGGGGGATCCTTCTCCGGCAATGGCCGGGAAAAGGGATGCCCGAGAGATGGGGCGATGGGGGTTATTTTTATCATGTGTGTGTATGTGTGCTTTGGGAGTGGGTAGCCTTTTGTTTTGGGCCGGCCGCAAACCAACAGGCACCGCACCATTTTGGGGTCCCGTCATATTAGTACACCCCATAATGTTGTTCTGCCTATTTTATGGCGGGTCTGTTCCGAGCTCACGTCCGGAATGTGTATGTGTGTGTGCCTTTTCCTCCAAAAAGGGGTGGCAAACGTGAATCATATTTTCGGCACAGGGGGGTGTCAACTCGTTCGTCACTGTTTTGGGGGTTTGGAGCCTGCAAGTGGCTAAGAAAGGCATGAGGACTCATTTGGGCCAAGAGTTTGGGCCGGTTTTCGGGGGTCCGCTCAACCTGAATTCGGAAGTGGAATTGGTGGGTTATTGATGGGTGCCTTTGCTGGTCTTGGCTTGGTTGGTTGTAGGGAGGTCCCACTTTCTAGTGGACAAAAAACACAAATTAGGTTTACGTGTTTTCAGAAAATCCCCGCTTGCTGTGAGTGGGAGGGAATCCCTTGAGAAGTGAAGCAGTCATGGATCTGACCCTGGAATGCCGGGTCCCCGGGTTTCGCGTTCCAGGTTCGTGATCGCCAAAGGAATGCCTTTGGTTTCTTTGGTTGGTATGAAATGGTGTGTCTCTTTTAAAGGAATCCCCAACAAAATCAAAAGTGGCCTTTCTGTTGGCGTCCTTTCTTGGGGCATCCGGGCACACAAGGACACCCAATGCGGAGCCAACTCGAGGCAGTTCATGGCACCCATGGTCAATGTTGATTGAGCTCCCCTAGGGTGATACCCTCCCACCACTGGAACCTGACGTTCGGTTCATTTGTGGGAGGAAAAATGGTGCGGGACGAAAAAAACAGGGGACCCTGCAAAGTGTAGACACCGAGATCAGGTTCGGGCGAAATATGAGTGTGCCCACTTTTTTGAGGCTACGCGTGTTGGGTTGGGCTAAGGGGGCACCAAATGGACAACGGAATCTATCACCAATGTCCATTCTGAGATACAATATCTTTTTTGGATGAGTAGATTGACAGGTAGGGAGAGATCAAAAGAAATAAAATAAATAATATACTTTTTTAGATAATGGTAGAGAAAAATAGATAGCTAATTTTAAAGATAGAGGGAGAGATAGAAAATAGATAGATATATTATAGATATAGAGATAGATAAATAGGTACATAGAAATGAAATCGATTTCGCTGTCTGCGTATTGTAGTTTCCGGCTCGCAGCGCATGTTGCGCGGCCGAGCGGAATGACAATTACGTCGAGTCGGATATCGTTCTGTTTTGGAGTGGTTTTAAAGGGCCACTAAATGGAACCCGCCCAGCTCTTGGTCTATTATAAGACGTGCCGTCCATTTTGAAATATTTCTTCTCCAATGGCTTCATTAAGAACTATTTCAATCGCAGATCATAAACACTTTGCAAGACAACATGACTCACAAAGGGGACTGCCAATTCCGTACGGTTTACAAAACCTGACATAAGGATTTCCCAAGTAAAGGACCCTCATCAGAGTGAGCTCATGAGCTCATTGTTGGACATGTATCTCAAAATGGACATCCATTTGGGCTCGCAAATAAGCCTTTGTTTTCATTGCCTTCAGGTGTGAGACACACCACATGGCTCGTCTTCTTTTGAATTGGTCCTTTTGTGGTTGAGGGCCAATTAAGGGATCCGGGAGTCCTTTATTAGGGGAGGGATTGGAAGTGGAATGGACCTCAACGAAGGCTCCGCTTGTCTTCCATGAATACAGCACGGTATTTATTATATAGACACATGCCTTTTGACAATAGAGACCACGATCACCATGGTGTTGTTATTTGGGTCAACCGGTGGCGCGCCGAGCAGTGTCCATCAGAGCCTAGAGCCTGCTTCCTCAGGCCGGGTTCCTTTAAAGCAGGCATGTGTCTTGGCCATGCAGGAGGCATACGGCTCCCCTCGACTCTAGGCCTCTAAGTCATGTTTTCATCGAACCCTCCGAAGCCAGCCAGTTCAGCTTAGCTTCTTAGGTTTTTAGGGTTTAGTGGTGGTTTTCATTTAACCCACTAACCTTTTTGTTTTTAGCAGGGGATCTGAAACCAGGCCAGAAATGAGAGGCAAAGCCTTGTACCCGGTTTGACCAGAGGCAGAGCCTCGCTATCACTCAGACAGTAAGCATTTGACCACGTGTTGCAATGGCATTCGTGGAGTTTGGAATCCCTCACAAGGCAAAGCTGAGCAGTCGAACATTTGGTCCTCATGGCCCTAAGGCCCTTTGTTGCCTCCATGTCCCCTAGTGCACTTTTGGAAACAGGCGCCAAAGATCACCTAGCCAGGTCGATTTCAGCATACTCCAGCTTCTTCTGTGCAAACTGCCATCTTTCTCTGGCATGGGCTGCAATGCGTCGCACTTTCGGACAACACACGTGTTTGCGTGGTGGATCTCAGCGACAGTCTTGCGGTTTGCGTGGAGTTCGTGGAAGGCCTGAGGGGCCAGAATTTGCCACCAGCCTCGACCGGGCGCAAAGGGGGGCTTTTTCTTGGTGCGCGAACCCCGGGCGCGGGGTCCAGCGTCCTCTAGGTCGCCCCAGTTCTGCCCTTCTCTCCCCTTTTTAGGGGCAGGGTTCCCCTACTCAAACGGACTACAAAAAAGGGACCCTTATTCCGCAACTGTATTCCTCTTGATGTTTGCTTTAAGCCAACCGCTCAGCTTTTAGCTGGGGATCTGAGGGCAGCGCTGCAGACAGACCGACCAAGAGCCATCTTAATCAGGAGCTCGAGAAGTTCAAGTTCGTGCTGGACTACAAGATCCGCGAACTCAAGGCGCAGATCGACCCCAAGAACGACAAGATCGCGGAGATGAAGAAGGAGATGGGGATTTCGTCTGAAAACTCGGTCAAACCCAGTTTTAACAACCAACAGTTTGGAGTGTTTACACGTGGCGCACGTTCTTGAAGAGTTGTGCTTGGGGTACGTGCTGCACCTTGTCCCTGAAAACTCCATTGTTTTGTCTCCGGACTTGGGAGTTCACAAGAGATCAAAGCGGACTTGGACCGGTTTCGCATGGAAATCAAAAAGATTGGGGGGGGTCCCTTTTTTGACACCCCCACACATAAGCAAAATTCCACACCACATAATAAATGGTTTCTCCCAGAACTCCACAGGAGTTCACCCATCCAACTGATCCTCGAGCCGGGGTCCCTCTTTGAAGGGTTTGAAAAAGGAAACGGACACCGCCCAATTTGTGAGGTATAAAATAACTGGGTACCCGCCATGCCAACCAGAAGTAGCCCGTGCTCCAGGGTCTGGGACCACGAGTGGCGATCGTGTCAATAGACCCCCAGTGGATTTGCAACTCAACGGGGAAATCCAAATCCTGGCGTTGTGCTTCTTTCGTGGCAACATTCCGAATTCAAACCGAGGAACTCAACCAGCTTGTCATAAAATTCCAGGAAGCATCAGCATCGACCCCTGCCCCTTTAAGTGGGGCCGTCGACGGCGCCTCCATCTTCCGCGCAGAGCCGGCGTCAGGTCCGAAAGAGCTCAGTGGCACCCGCTATTGGACGGATCATTGACCTGTTGAACTCTTTGCCTTTTTGGGTCTGCTTCATTTTTCCTTGCAACACCTGCGGTCCATGGCCCGCGGACGATTCTGCCAGTCATGCTACCCACCAATTGCATGCGTTTTTGTTTTTCTTGGGTGTTTAAGTCTGGCCCGGTAAATCCCTTTTGATGGCTTCCCAAAAAAGTCGTCTAGCCTTGAAAGGGTTAACTTTTTCAACCACGAAGTCCTAGATTGGTGGTATTGATCAAATCTTCGAGTCGGGAGACCTGGGCTAGACGGTCCGATCGCTTGCGCAATGCGAGCACCCGAAAAGGCAAATATTTGTTAGAACCCACCGCATCCAACGGGTCATCCAATTCAAGGGGTTCCCTGAAGTTCCTTTTTCTTCCACTTGGTTAAGAATGTTTTTTATTTTCCCCTGTTGGTTTGAAAGGGTCTCTCACTACTGGAATTGCTTTTATTTTTCCAGGGGACTTAAGCAAAAGGAGGTTTTGGCGATTCGTCTGTTGCAGGGACGCCAAGCAACCGAAATCAGCGCACGCACGTCGAGGAGATTCAGGCCATGGACTCTGACCTGGAGGACTACCACCGGAAGAACACCCAGCTGCAGGCGGAGTGTCCTCATGCCCTGGCCTGGGGGGGTGGGGTTGTTCAATCCTTTAGTGCATTCTGCCACGAGATGTTAGGACTTTAACATGTTGCCAACTAATGGGTTTTCCAATTAGTCCACTAAAAAAATATTTTTTAGCAAGGGAGCAGAACGCAACCGAGAATCCTTTTGTGGTCAGACCCGCCCTGACTTGGGACTTCTGATCTTTGGGCGGCGTTGACCGTTTTTTGTCCTGCAAAGGACACAGCCATACGGGTTTTGTGGCCATCCAGCTCAACATGTTTAAGCCAGTGTTAGGAGTTTGCACGAAACCACCTTGCCACCTGGTCGACTCCTTTTTCTCATGACCAACTAAAACCCTAGTATGGGTGTATATGTATATGGGTGTGTCCTGAAATAGGGGACCCCACAGATGGCTGGTTCCCCGTTGGTTTCGCCACAAATTCACCCCCAAAAAGGCCCCCTCCCAAAAAAGAAAACACCCCCGGCGTGGAAATTATATTCCAGGTGGTACGCTGGTCGGGGGTCGCCCAGGGAACCCTAAGAAACCTAGGGCTCGCAACTACCCACTCCACGTACCTACCCCTTTGAAGGGGATCCCACAAGTCTTCGTTCGCTTTGCGTCGCAGGTGAACATCCAGCAGCTGAACAACAAGCACAAGACGCTGCAGGAAGATATCGTGTCACAGCGCCACTGGGTGCGAAAGACGGGGGGCATGCTCTCACTTCTTGGTTTCCCTGATTTTTTTGGGAATATCAGTTGAGTGCCAAACCAGAGTTGGGACTTGTGTAAGCCGATCCTCTCAGGAAGTGAGTAGCCCATGTTTAATCTTCCCAGGAATCAACACGTAGCCACCGTGATTGATTTTCCGCAAAGGAAGCCGCCGCATAGCAAGCAGCATGTGAGCCTCAATCAAAACCGATTCGGGTAGAAGGTTTGTAAGGGACAATCCCCTTGCCATAAAAATCGGTGCGGCAATCTCCGCCCTTGCAATTCCTGAAGCATGGGACTTCCTTTCCATTGCGCCGATCGGTTTTGAGCTAAGTGGCTCATGTTTCTCATTTTGCCAGGACCACCAATAGGCACCTCCTTCATTCCCGAGACCCGGCCGAGAGGGTCTCGGCCACTCCCAGCAGCCAGTGACTGATGTTTTTTCTTTTTCCGGAACTTCGCATGGTTGTGGTGGGGAGAAGAAAACACATTTTGCATGTTTGCTTACGGTGGTTTAGTGGCTGAAATCCCCACTTAACGGCAAAAACTTACATGTTAGGTCTTCAACTTTTTGCCAACTCATGGGTGTTCCACTAAAAGTCCACTAAAAGCCCACTAAAAGCCACTAAAAGTCCACTGTTTTCCAAGTCCACTGTTTTCCATTTAGTCCACTAAAAGTTAAACTTTGAGCAGGGGAGCAGAAAAACAACCGAGTGATGTTTCCCGGAGCTTAGCCCCAGGCAAGAAGATGACCGACTGCCAGACGGTGATCAAGCGCTTCAAGACTGACCTGCATGAGCGCCCCGAACTTTCTTAGAGAGAACCCCCCCCCCCCGCAGCGCCGCCAGGGGGGTGGTGGAACGGTCGAATAAGATCGATCCGGTTTCCAGGGGATCGGCTTCCTTGAGGTGTTCCGGGCTACTTAGGCTTGATCTTTTGTTTAGATCAACATGGTCATAAACCAGGCGAATTGATGGTCGAGGTCCCTACTAAAGAAAAAATCGGCCAGGGAGCTGTCACTCTCTGGTAAAATTATGCTGGTACAAGTTGCCCCTTCATGTTGCAATAGGCCAAGCAAAACGACTTGTCGACTCAGCTAGCAATGGGACGTGTCAATGAATAACAACATGTGTGTCATTGTTTACCTCCATTTGCTTAAGATGTTTTTCGTTTTATTTCCCTTGTTGGTTTTAACAGGAATTCATTACTACTGGAAATAAATAAATAAATACATATATATATATATACTGGGGCCTTAACCAAATGGAAGTTTATGTTCACTAAATACGGATGAGCATCTATCCCACGGCACATCTATCCTGGAAGCTGCGGAAGATCAGCTATGGCCTTCATTCTAGTCAAGATACTCATATGTGGAAATGAACAGGGCTCCTTAAAAGAAAAACATGTTGCAACCATTTGAAACATGGCTTTTTCCACCAAAATAAAGGGAAACCATCATTTACAAGGCAATGTTCAGGTGTATAGTGTAAGGATCCCTGATGAAATGGGTGTGGCTCAAAATTAAACGATCGGAGGGGCAAACCGCAGGTTTTGGTCAATGTTTCCACTTACCAAGGTTCCATTTTGGTACGGGTTTTTTGAGCCACAGCCATATGTGGGAATGAATGGCAATCTTTTACTTTTAGGTCCTTTCTCTTCCATCTCTCCAACTCTGTCTCTCTCTCTCTCTCTCTCTCTTCTCTCTCTTCTCTCTCTTCTCTCTCTCTCTCTCTGTGTCTCAGTTTCATGGTTAGTCCGGAACAAAAGCTCTTCAGCAACAGGGGGACTTTCTTGGGTCGAATGACTCAACTTGCTATTTTGCCAGCCTCGCGCCCCCGGAATTCGGCTGATTTGCCTGAAGGAAAGGCCGGTGCTGTCGGTGAGTGTCCTGAGTGCGGTCGGTGAGTGCCGGCACATGTTGTTTTAGGGGTGGAAGTCTTCATGGCTATTTGTCCGGATCTTTGGACTTGAACTTTTGGGTTGAAACTTTGTGGATTTTCCAATCTGACCAAAAGTTAAACCTTTTGCAGAGGGGTCAACAGCAACCAAGATATCTCAGTTCAAAGCGAATCTAGCTGTTTACACTACCTCCCACGTTGCCATGGCACCCGTGGGACACTGCAAGATCATGTTCCTCTTGGAGGGCCTGGTGAGTGGGTCCCCCTGTTTGGCAATCACTTTTAGTTACGGTCGATAGCAAAGAGGTGATAGCAAGGGGGACCTTAACTCGATTTTGTTTATCACCTGTTTATCACCTTATCACCTTAGGTCCCCTTAACTCGATACAAGGCTTTGGTAGGGACTCACCCCAACTCGATACCCTTTATTTCACTTGGCCCAAAGCTTTCGGCCAGTGAGTTGATCTGGCGATGGCTTGCTTGAAAGGCCGGTGCGAGTCGTCGCCGGGAAATCTAGGCAGATCACGCGGGCCAGGGGAAGCGGCCTAAGGGGCCCCTGGGGCATTTAGCTCTGGACCCCACAACTGGTGAAACAAAAAATGCAAGTCGAGTCGACAGCTAGGCTATGACTCCCCTTGCGGTGAAGGCCATTATGGCGGATGGGTAACATATCCACTTCGCACCAGGTGGTTTACCAACCAGAAAGTTTCACTTCTCCGAACTGATTGTGGGATGTTTTGTCCATCCACAGAGGGGCTCCACTTGTTGTTGCTATTTTTGGCCTGATCGTCAGTCGGGCTTCAGAGGATTCCCTTGCTTTCCTTTTCACTCTGCGAGAACCCAACGCAGAGTCCTCCATTTGGCAATTGCTCTTTAAGGATATTTCTTCTAGAACAAAAACCTGAGATGTTCTAGAGGTGGTGTTTGTTGTGTTTGTGAACAATTGCCTTTCAATCCGTTGCGGCACTTTTTTTGGCTGAGGTGTGTGCAGTTCATTCAGGAGCCTCGCCTGCTGAAGGAGTCGGCCACCGCGCTCTACAAGAAGTACGTGCCCAACGGTGTGAAGAAGCCCCTTGGCCGAGCACTACATGCCAACAAGGTGGTTTGGAGGTTCGGGACGGTTTCCCTTTTTACCCTCTACAAGACTTAGGGGCTCAAATCCAAGTCCAGATCTCACCAATCCAAACCACCAATGGGCTATTTGGATGTTCGATTCGCCAAGTTAGCAAGTGGTGATCGCCACTTGCGGTTTTCCAGGTTAGCAACAACTAACTTGGCCAAACACTCAAGTACCCTGCCCAATGTGAATCGACCTGAAGTACCCTTTTGGTTTCCCTGATTCGGGCCCTGTGAAATGTTAAGGGTCCAAAGGGTGATCACCTTGTATTTTACCAGGTGAGCCACTTGCTCAAAGCCCAGGTAGAAAAATGTTAGTAAGGGAGAATCCCGGTCATCGCTGCCACCTCTTGAATTGTTTACATGAGACCAGGTATTGTTTGAATACCCATCGGTTTTGGTTACCCAGAAGCACTCGGGTCTAGATTGGGATGTTTCTGGGGGTCTGTTTTCGTGTGTACGAGTTTTGATTACTCCCTCAGGAGGGCTGCCTTGAGAAATCAGATTCATCAATGGGGGCTCGATGTTCTTTTTTGAGGCACGGCAACCCTTTGTTTGACACCAACAGGAACACGGCCTCGCCATTTTTGGGACGGGCTGGTCGCGAGCCTTTTGGGTTCTGAAAACAAGCGGGGGTTCGGGGCTGTTCAAAATGCTTCGTGTTGGTCAATCCGATTTTCCATGCGCCTTGGCAAATTCGGGGCCTTTGCATGCCGAAGAATGAAATCGACACTCTCGTACCAATTCCCCAGTTCGAAAATGGGAATCGGGTTGATTCCGGGACCCAAAAATGCATTGTGGGTGGGAAAGCCATCTAAGGGGCGATTCGTCATAACAAAGACTAGCCATGTTGAATACGTCAATATATTAATACATGAGTATGTAGAAGGGACCCGCAAAATAGCTTGTCCTCTTGGTTTCTCTTTAAAACCAACTAGAAAGGGTACCAACTCTGCCCATATTTGAGTCAGAATTCAGTTGCGCACCCACGCACAAGAGGTTCATACCAGAAATTCCAAGTTGTTTTTCCCCTCTGAAGCAGACTCATTGGATAAAGCAGTGGGTGTAGCAATGGGGTCTCTTTTTTAGGGAAGACACCAGTGGGATTTTAAAGCATGAGTCACAACCAAAACCCGGGGAATTGGAGGGTAGTAATCGACAGTCACGGCCATAAATGGGTTGCCGCCGCCTTGGTAATTCTTTTTAGATGGTTCGGGGTAGACCATTTCAGTACCGTGTTTTGATTGCGACTCATATGGGTTTTTCAAGAGCGAAGCTTCAAAGTTTGTATGGACCATACCCCGGGGCAAGATGATTGTTTACAGCCCGCAACTACCCCGAAGGCAACACAAAGTCTACATCCACTACATAGACACTATGGCGCATACACCACGTTTTTTCCTGGAGTGAGTGGGGGGTTGTTTGGAGGGTGGGGGTTTTCCCATCTCAATCCCGGTTGACGCCAGGATTCAGCTCTTGGGCCTGGAATGGCCCTGTTCCGAGTGAAAGGCACTCCTGGGCTTGAGGAATTGGTCTTGGTTTCTTTCTCGCCTAAGCATCTCGTTTTGAATCTGAGGGCCCGGGTGGCCGATTGAAGGCTTCGGATCAGCCCTCGTTGAACAGGGAGGAAGCGGGGCCCGCCAGCTTTCTGCCCTCGAAGCCAGCGCGAAAGGCAAGAGCTGGACAGCGACATCCAGCGCGAGTACAACCGCCAGCGGGACTACCTCGAAAAGAGTGCGCCTGGGTTCCGTGCATTTGTTGGCGCGAGCGCGCGGGTGTGTGCGTGCAGCTTCTCCGTTTTTTTTCGAATTGTGGCAAGGTGTTGCCTCTGTGGTTCTCTCGCGGTTCTCAGTGAACACTACGTGCGAACCAGGCGCCGGTTTAGACATTTTTTTTTATTTATTTTTTTGTTAAAGTTTTGTTCTTCTTCTTTTTTCTCGGAGCCATGTGGGTGTGTCTTTTTTTAGGGGACCCCCAAAATGTGTGTTTGTTTGGTTGTTGTTTTTCAAAGAAAGTTTAAACCCACCCAAAAAGGGGTACCCTCAAAAAGACACACCCATGTATTTAATTGCACCCCTATTTGCTCCTGAAAGATGGCACCCCAATGGACTGACCGGCAGCTGAACTGTTCAATTCTGATTTCAAAGACCACTGGTATGGGACCAAGTACCGAGCCATGCAAGCAAACTCTGGGCAGCCATCCACAATATTCACTAAAATATACGTAAAAATAAACAGGATTATGTGATAAATATATGGTCAGCCAATGCTTACTTGGTTTGGATTAGTGCTTGGGGGATTTGAACCTTTGGTTCTTCTTGAACAAAATGGGCTCGGAGCTGGCCCCCGCAGATCCAAGCCACCCTCCCAAACCACTTTCTTTGGGCAGCTGATTAACGCCTTACCCGGTGGATCCATTTACTTGTACGACCACGCTTTTGGCGTTTTTTGGTAGCTTTGGCTTAGCCAGGATTCGGAGAGTGGTTGTACCCCCACACAGTGTGGGCAGTGTTAGTGCTCTCATCCCATACACTGTGGGACAAATTCAATACAACATTTTAAAGACCAAAAGAAGAATAGCTGGGTACCTACAAGGGCTATCTGGGATCCACTGGGCTATGTCAGCACCGAGACGAGCGCTTGTCGCCCGCGGCCTCACCCTGGTGTTTCGTAGAGCCAACGCTCAGTGCCCTTGGAGCAAAAGAACCATGGCCAGGGCCAAGCTATAACCCTCCCTGCCATTGGTTGAAAGCTTGGAATGAAGGTGTAGAAACACCACACAGGCTCCAAAAAAGGGACCTGGACCCTGCATGGCGAAGCGAGTTTCCTTTTACATGCCCTTTCGACCGGATTGGTTGATAGTATAGTAGGTATCCTCCAGTGTCAGCACCCTGAGTTTGAAGCAGAGGCCTCCCACTACACCAGTTTCCCACTTGTTTAATGGTATCATGTCAACACTTTACTAGAAAAGCAGCTATTTACCACGATACTGTCGGACCCCTGATTCTAGACTTAGTTTTGTGTATGCCTTCTAAAGGACCAAAGTGGATGGATCTTTCTTGTAGTCCTCCAGACCTCCAAGTTGCAGAGTTATTTGGGTATCACGATCACTCCAGCCTTATGCCTCCAAAGACCGGGATGGTCGACCGACAATAGTACAGCTTCCTGCGCGCATTTTCTTCGGAGCTCATCGGCCGATCCAACTGGAGGAACAGGATCCAGTGGGAAATTGTCCCACAGAAATCGCATAGCAGGGCCCAAATAGTGGGAACGGGGTCGTAGTTGTGCTTAAAAACCAGATTTAAGCATAGATCTATGGGCTTGTCTCTTTTGAGAGTACCCTATTTGGGGAAAAAAGAAGGGAAAGCCGCGCGCGTTTTGGAGCTTCCCCTATTTAAAGACAACCCGATATGAGTAAACCATCAATACCCTCCCAACTCTCAACAAGCACTGCCTAGATCTCTACAAGGGGCCCTAAGCTGGTGGGTTTCATGTTTGGTAGGGGGCCTATGGATTGCTGAGGTGGAGAATCTGAAGAAGAAGCTGCTCAAAGACTCGGACGTGCACCGCCAAGATAACACCCGGGTGCTGCAGGAGAACGTGCAACTCATCATCGAGATCAACAACTTGAGCCTCGTTGCAGTTGGTATGTTTGTACGGGTTGATTCCAACCATTCTTTTCAACCATTGTTCTCTTCAAAAACCGATCGCCGTTTTCCCGATCGGGATTCTGGAGGTTTTCTAGAACGGGATTTTGTTGAAAGAATGGGCATGGAAGGTAGCTGTAGAAGGTTCTTGTTGCGGACGCCCTAGAGTTTTCAGCTGCCTCTGAGTTGGTGGCCTGAACCTCTGGCATAATATGGGCAACCATCCCTAACCACCGAGTCGGCTCCAAACCACCCTCTTGGAGTGTTTGGCGGCTTTCAAGGGCAGGGGCAGCCCAGAAGGAGAAGCCACAGGTTTTTCAAGGCCCCCCCCTCCCCCGATTTTGACACATACCGATGTCAATGGTTTCACAACGAGTGGGACGCAAGGCGTGCGAGTTCGGGTCTTTGGAGCAAGGCTGAGCCCAAAAAAGGCCGAATGAATCGAGGGCGAATCGCGAACTCCCGCGAAATCCTCGGCTGCTGGGTTGGATCTTTGGACACCCATTACTTTTGGAATGATACTGTGGATGGACGAAATCCTGCACCACCTAAGAAACCCTGGAATGATGATTCCTTTGTAAATACCAACAAACAATGGTTTTTCCATGGTTTCAAAGTGGTGCAGGATTTCGTCCATCCACAGTATTGTGGTGGGAACCCCAGCCAACCCCTTCGGCCCTTCGGTTTTTGCCATTTGCCCCGCAGATGTTATTTTTCCTCCTCTTGGAAAGAATTAGTCGAGGCGTCGGGAGATCGATTACCTCAAGCGGGAACGGCAACAGCAGCGCCTTCATGTGAGCAAGCTGAAGAGCTCAAGCCCAGGCGAGCGCCGGAATGAATTTTTGGCCGTGGTTGGGAGCAAGTGGTTTGATGCCTTGGGGATGGCCGTTGTTTTTCTTCTTTTCTTTTTTTGCGCTGGTGGGTTCCCCGATGGCTGATTGGGGGACTTTCCTAGTTGGTACAGTTGGCTGCCCGTAGTCCTGGCCGTATGGAAAAACCCCGGTGGTTTCGTGGGCGTCGGTCTTTTGGAACTCGAAGTCGCGCGCGCCGTGTCTTTCGAGGGCGCAAGAGGGAGTTCTTAGACTTCTCTTTTTTGGACTTTCAACGTGACCTTTTGGTTGTGAACAGGTTGCCACTTTAGAAGTAGTTCCTTTTGGGGTGAGGTTCAAAGGGGAGATATACGAAAGCCTGACAAGCAGATGTTTCCTTTGTCTTTCCCTTGTATTTGTAGCTTGGGGGAAGTTACATGGGTTTAGCTTCGCCAATTGCTCCGTACTTTGAGCATCAACCTTAAGGCCAGTTGCATTGCTCTAATCGAATCACACCCAGAGGGTCCAAAATGATCACTTCCTGAAAAGCGACGTCGCCCAGGTTTGATCAGGTTCCAACGGGTCACCTTTGGTTGGATCTTTTCAAGTGAGAATTCGTTTTAAAACCCAGGTTCGCCTTTTGACTCGTGTGGATGGACGAAATCCCTTCGCACCACCTCAGAAACCATGAGAAACCATTGTTTGTTCGTATTTCAGGGGGAATCCTCATTCCGTTTCTTAGGTGGTGCAGGATTTTGTCCATCCACAGGATGAGGGAAATACAGGGACACCATTCTGAGGGATTCTGCACCATGAAGGCTCCTCGCCGCTACCAGACCGAGCCGAGCTTTGGCCCGACCCACCGAAACCCGCCGAACACCGCGTCAGGCTCTCCAGGGAAGGCGTCGACGGACGTGACCACGCTGACAAAGGAGGTTGAGACCAACAAGACTCAGCTGGACGAGTTGAGAAGGACCAACACAGCGCCCGAGTTTCCATCGTTTTGGTTTCAGGTAGTCCGTGAACATAGTAAAAAGTTCCGAGCCATTTCCCTTTTGACGGCAACTTCCAAAAGTGGCCATCGTTTCAGCGGAAACCACGACGGGGACATCGGATGTGTCGCCTATCCGAGAAAAGCAGATGGTGCTTTGATTTCTGTTGGGTTCCTTTGATCCAGGGTTCTATATTTACATTGTTGGATGGTTGGACACTCACCTTTTGGCTGTGTCAAAATGAGTTCCCTCTTGGCGCGGTAATGGTTGTTTTGTTTTCGCTTGGCTTCTCGGAATCCTGTTTTGTTTAGGCAACTCTTGCTTGGTGGTTTGGACGGGAGGTTTGAATATGAACCCTGGCTTTTGTAGAGAGTAACTTGTAGACCGGAGACCACTTAGCCAACCGCCGGGCTCCAAACCACCAATCGGAGGGAAGCTGATTTGCTTAATTGGTCTTTCAAGGTCAGTCCCAGAGTTCTTGCTCGGTGTCTTAAATCAGGGTTTCCTCAATGTCCCTTAAACATGCTTGTTGTTGGGAAACAATTTATATTGTTGCTTATTGTGGTTTAGTGGGAAATCCCCACTTAGCTGCTAAAGTTTGATTTTTTGCTCCCCTTCCAACGTCAACCAAGTAAAGGGAACCTGCAAACGTGGCAATCGTTTCACCGGGAACCACCGGTCAATTGATCAACCTCTTTGGGGAAATACAGCCTCTGTGACCCTGAAGGCGAGGAAGGTACTTCCATTTGCTGAATATATGGCTGTGGTTGTCGAAACCGTTTTGGATCGGATCCCATTTTGGTTGGTGAATTCACCACCCATTTTAGAACCCATTTGAGTGGGGATTGGGATGTTCACTGGGGGTGCGTTATTTTGACCCATGGCCATGTCTTGTTATCCTTTGTTGGTTTCAACGGGGATTTATCACTAGGGACATGTGTATTTGTTTTCCACGGGGCTTAAGCACGTGGAAGTGTAGCCGAAAGTATTCGCTTTTTCGTTTTTCGGGGGGTGAAGCCAGCTTGGGTCCGAAGATGAAGGCTGGGGGTACTTGGTGCTTTGGATTTGTGGTTTGGTTCGGGGTGATGTTCAATCAACCCTCTACAAGACCCACCTAGATAACCAAGTTGCTGCTTTGTTCAGTCACTGTTGCTGGATTTTGGGGGTAAAGTGCATGGAAAACAACGATCGCAACTGGCGATCCAGGAGTTCAAGCCTCATGTTCAAGCGTGCGAACCGCATCCGAAAGATTGCTCGGGTTCGAAGGGGAGGGGCCCTGAGAAATGGAATCACCCCAATTCAAGCCATCCTCGTGGCGTCCTCAGGGGATCCCTGGAAAAGCATTCCCAACACCCGGAACCATACCTATCGCACCAGCAAAGAAATACGGTTCACTTGACCATGCTGGCCCTTGGTCAATACCGCAAATCCCGTCCATTTGCTGAATAATATTGTGCTTTTTCCCCTTGTTGGTTTTAAAAGTAATTTATCACTACTGAAAGTATCTTCTTATTTTTTCCAGGGGTCTTAACCAAATGGAAGATCACGTCAATTGAGTTGCGAGCGAGAAAGATGAATTCAAAGGGCCAAGATTTCGGGTGAGGCGTGGTACCTCCGATTTCTCCTTGTAAACTGGTACGACTACTTCGGATTAAGAAGGTGCGATCCATGATTCCAACCAGGAGTTGGGAGGCAAATCCGAACTTTGGGATGATTTTTTTGTTTTTTGGGAGGGGTCAAAGGAGAGCAAACTGCAGTTTCAACCTGGGATTCAGAGCCTGCAACAGTGTCACCGCCTTTGGATGTGTTTCGTCATGAATTCAAGTTCCTCGCCAGTGCAGCTTGCCTCCCATGACAGCTGACGGTTCGGAAGACGAAACTTTCCTTTCAGGGAACTTCCCTTTCCACTTCCATGATTCATCGAAGATAATGTGACTCTAGATCAATCTCCCTGGGTTGAGTGGGGATTCATTTGGAGAGAACACCCCCTAGTTGATAGGAGGGGTTTGATCCGGGTCAACATCAGATCATTCAGATCTATCCACTTCAAAGACACAATTGGGTGGGGGAGGAGGTAACACCCTTGATCGGAGCACTAGATTCTGCGGTCCCATCGCAAAAGCAGACTCGTCTAGTGCAGTACTCTGATTCTTCCTGGCTGTGTAGATAAATGGGTTTCTCAAAACATGGTTGTTGTTGGGAAACATGTTACATGTTTGCTTATTGTGGTTTAGTGGGCAATCCCCACTTAACTGCTAAGATTTGAATTGTTGCTTCCCTTCGAACGTCAACCCAGAAAAGGAGACCAAGCGCCAAATAGATGCCCCTAATTTTGAGACAACCAAAGATCCTTGGAGATCCACGAATTCGTGGATATGTTAACCTTTTTTTCAGACCGGAAGGGCTCATGATTTCAACTCGGATCAGGGAATGACACATGTTCGACAAACGGTGGCATGCGGCAGAGGAGTTCCAAGTACGTCCACACAAACGCAAAACACAAGCATGTTCAATCATAGAACAGAACAATGCCCAAAGAAGACAGTGAGAAACAATCAAAGCCCGTGATTTCCCCGCAAGAGTCCCCCTGAACCACTCGCAGGAGAGTAGAGGAGCAGATGACTCTCCGACAAAGCGCCGCTTTAGCCGCGGCCGACGGATGAGGAGAGCCTTCGTGCCGCGAGTGTTAATGCTTGGGAAGACGACGTGCCAGGCGGCAACCGCAAAAGGTGTGTGTGTGTGAGAGAGAGAGAGTGGTTTTCTCAGATCATCCTTTGATTGGCGGTTTGGTTTGGTCGGATTTGAGCCCTTCTTGTCGAGGTGGGACGCTCATTCCTATCCTCTGGGTGTAAAGGGAAAGAGGAAAATCGAAGCCATTTGGGGGTCCCCGAAAGGCTTGCATCAACCACCATCGCCTTTTCCATTTGCTCGAGATCCATCACTCTGCTTCTCCTGCATGTCATAGCATATCTTTCTGATCTTCTTGAAGCAACCATTTAATTTGCCTATTGGAAAGGACGGACGGATTCGCATCACAGGAAGTCGATTCCATTTTTTGAAGCAACTTGGCATTGCGGTTTTGCCCCCGCGGCATCGCGCGTCTACCCGATAATTTCACTATGCCGTGACTGAGTAAAGTTCTCATCTCGTGTCACCGTTTCACCGGGGCGCTGAAATTGGGCTCCCGGCGCGGCCACGTGCAGGTTTCACCTGGCAAAAGAGGCAAAGGTTGGGCTGACAGTGGACCAACATACACTTGGCCATCATTTTTCTTTTTTGGAACACCCTCAACATGGTTGTTGTTGTCATTCAATTTACATTTTTGCTTATTGTGGTTTGGTGGGAATTCCCCACTGAACAGCTAAACTATGTTTGTTTGCTCCCCTTTGCAACGTCAGCCAAGTAAATGGCTGGTAACACCAATTGACATGCAACCTGACAGGGGGTCCTGGTTTGGACCATGACCGAGTCCCGCACGTCAGGTTCCATGTTGATTGGTGGGAGGGTAAATGATGTTTTTTCACAGGGCCAATTCGAGAAATCAGCCGAACTGCGGGCTGATCACGGGCAGGGAACACGTGGTAATAAACGCCTTGGCTCAAATTGAGAAAAGCAGGAGCGGCTGTTTACCGCAAATGCTTGAGCAAGCAAAAGAGCAAGGAAGAAAGGCAGTTGCAACAAGGCAGCTACATTGCATGAACGCCTATATTTGCATATGTTTGTGTATCCAGTAGACAACATATCATGACAGAGCCGCCGGAACGTTCTGGAGCAGCTTCCGTCAAGACCAAAAGGCAGCCCAGCACCCCTCAGATCCTCAAAAGCGGACAAGCACGAACCCATCTTTGAGGTATGAGTCAATAATTTGGTGGACCCCTAAAAGGTGAGGTTTTCCCTTTTGGTATCCCCTTTTTTTCCGGATAAACAAGGATAGCAACTCCAAATAGGGCACACACCGCAGTCCAGCCCGATTAAAGCCCTTCAGCGCGCGATGAACTCTTGGAATCCGCGACTTCCTCGGCAGATCGGTCGGTATGTTCGTTTTGCCCGCTTGCCCTTGAACAGTCAGCCAGACAAAAAAAAAAAAAACACGAGCCTTGTTGGGATTCCAAGGGTACACCGGGGGGCGGGGATATATAGCTTGGAAGCATTCTGGGTACACCCTGAGTGCACGACGGCAGTCCTTGATGAATATTCAAAAGCTGATGACAGCCATCCAATCTCGGCTAACAGCACCCACCAGGCCTTTGTAACGCTTCGCAATGCGTTACGAGGGCCTTTTTGGCCCTTGTAATTCCTAACAGGGTCCTTTCTGCAGTCCTGTTCCTTTTTCTTTTTTTTGGGTTTGGGGGGCAATTCCACCATTGGACAGCCTCCAGCAACCACAGCCAGCGGCCAGACAGGCTGGGCGGGTTCCACAATTCGAGAGCACCTAGCCATTCGAGTACCTTCCATTTGCTGAAATGAATATTTTGTCCCCTGTTGGTTTAAAAGGAATTTATCACTAGTGGAAATAGTTTCTCATTTTTCCAGGGGTCTTAACCAAATGGAAGGTACCAATCAACGCCTCACCCTTCGCTTGCCTGAGGCAAAGCGGCTTGGCGCCCACGCCGCAGTCCTTGATCGCAGCGCCTTGCTTGAATAGGGGGCCGTCCCTTCTTTAGATCTGTTGTGTGTCTGTGTGTCAGTCTGCTTGTGCATTTGCATCTGTTTTTTTCTTTTGAGGTTCCCCAGTCCGTTTTCTTTTCAGGAATGTGTTTTTGTTTAATGGCGTTTGGCAGTTTTGCAGGTTTACGGGTATCATTTGTTGGTGGTCGGTGGTTTCTCGTCGTATTCTCCGCCGTTGAGGGAAGCCCTCTTGCCTCTTGCCTCTTGCCTCTTGCCAGGCCTTAAGGCCTTAAGGCCTCGAAGGGTCTGGGCTTCAAAGCTGGCTGGGTGCCCCCCAGGCGCCTTTTCCCCCCCCCCCCCCGACAGGTTTGGGGTGGTCAGACTGTGACCTCCGACCGCGTGGCGCAACCGGATCGCCGCATCGCCGCATCGCCGCATCGACAGAGCTTGTGACGGGTCCGTCAGCGTCAGACTGAAGTGAAAGGCTCCCAGTGGCCAGGGACAGCCAGTCTGGAGTCGGAGCCTCTAACGGCTGGTGCCACAGCCGGGACAATGCAAGGCATCTTCTGGCTCCCGACTGAGGCGCAGGTCAAAGCCAGAGCAGTCAAGGAACTAAGCAGATGAAATCAGGCTGCTGATGTGACATTTTTCGGAGCCAGGCTTGCAAACGCTCCAAGCAATTTTGACCGCGAGTTACGGGAGCTTTCTTTTTGCTTGCTGGACCGCTTGGCCGCAGCATCTCGTCTGTGTCCAGCCGGGAGCGCATAACTGTGCCTGTATACGTGCGACTCACGCAGGAAAAGCGAGCAGCTGCTGAAGCTATGCTGAGCCACAAGACACAGGATGAGGAAGATTGAGCGCTTAGACCTTGTTTGCCTCCGCGTCAGCCAGCATGCTTGAGGCCGCGTGCAGTCGGATTGACTTTTTGGTGCCTGTGTGCTTGCAGCCTAGTTCAGCCAAGCCAACTTCTTAGGCGGTTGAATAGGTATTGTTTTGAGGGTGCCCGTTGTTTGTTGTTTAGAAGGTGTCCCCTTTACAAAGACATACCCATGTTTCAACGGCTTCATTTTTGGTATTTGTTGCATTTGCTTGATGGTTTGGTTCTGGTTCTGACCTTTTTTTACAGGCTGCAGACAAGAAGGTGTGCCAAGGATGGGAAACACAACCAACCCCTGGTTGTGTAAAACATCGGGGAACCCCCCTAACAGTAAACAAAGCTCAGGTGACACTCCCCAACAGCACGCGGTGCTCTTTTTTGGTGCTCGCACCACCCCGCAACCCTCACAGAACCTTGTGGAAGTCTCGTCAAACCTGGTGGAACCCTTGTGGAACCCTCGTGGAACCTTATCTCGCCGCCCCGGACCACCCCGGAGCCTATTTGGGCTGAGACCCCAAAGTCGGTAAACTAAAATGTTTTTGGGCTTCAAATCAACCTTCGCGCTGCACACCCCGAGCCCTACCCCCGCCCCAAGCACACCGCCCTGCATGCTTCCCGCTCGCTGGGCTCAGCACCAACCTGCACGCTGCATGAGCTCAACTTGAACATCCCACGCAGCTCTTCCGCAATTCTTCTGCCTATTTTTGCATCGCTTCAAAGAACGTCAAACACTGGCCGGCGCCAACGTGCTTCAACTTGATTTAGTGTATCAGCCGCGCCCGAAACCTTGCTGAACGCTGCTGGGTGGGATGTTCAAGTTGAGCTCACGCAGCGGATGGCCCGGGTCACAAGGGTTGACGTAGGCCCGCCGCGCCGGGTCCCGCAGTTGAGCGTGCCGGTTCACAAGGCCCTGGCCTTGAAAAATACAATGACCCCCCCTACGTTGTTTGAAAAATAAGCTCGGGCGATATCCCCAACAGCGCCACACCCTCCCAGAATCCTCGCGGAACGCCCCGGGACCATCCTTACCGCCGGTGTTGCTGAGGATGCCGCCTTGTAAAGCAAAGCTACAAGTGACAGCGCAATCTCGCCCTGATCGGGGCCGGCCCGACGGCGCAATCGGGGCCCGATCGGGGCCCGACGGTGCAATCGGGCCCCGATCGTCCCGTGGTGCAACCCCAGCAACCACCCAGATTATAGCTCAACGCCGGTTTTCCTTAGCATGCGGATTGCAATTGTATCTATAGCAAAACTAGGCGATGCCAGCTTGGTACAATTGACGGGGCCCGACTCAGGCCCGATCGGGGCCCGACGGCGCAATCAGGGCCCGATCGGGGCCCGACGGCGCAATCGGGGCCCGATCGGGGCCCGACGGTGCAATCGGGGCCCGATCGGGGCCGACGGTGCAAACGGGGCCCGATCGGGGCCCGACGGTGCAATCGGGCCCCGATCGTGGTGCAACCCCAGCCACCCATATTGGTTTTCCTTAGTATGCGGATTGCAACTGTATCTATAGCAAAACTAGGCGATGCCAGCTTTGACGGGGCCCGACTGAGTCAGGCCCCGATCGGGGCGCGATGGCGCAATCGGGCCGAAACGGTGCAATCGGGCGGGCCCCGATTGCACTGTCGCCCGGTGAACCTCGCAAACCGTTCTCATGCAACTTTCGTGGAGCTCAGCGTGAAACTTTGCTGGAACCTTTCCTCAGGGCTGCCCCATAGCTTTTGCAGAATTTGGTGGAAACCTTCTGACCTCATAGCCCTCCCATTCTCGTGGAATTCTTGGAAAATTAAAGCCCACCAAGCAGCAATGCCAAGCATGTACTCTGCTGCACCGTGAGTTCCGCAGCGACGTGATCTGATTTGCCACAAAGCCAACATTTGCCTGAGCAAGTGAGCAAGTCACAAAACAGTGAAAGTGTGCTAAAAACCATTGATTTCGGTTTTGCTTAGTGTTCCGCCCATGAGCAAAGCGATCTTGATCCGATGGCTTTTCAGACGACGGGCGCGCGACACACCCTTGGTGGAGCATTGTGGAGCCTTGTGGAACCCGTGTGGAATCCTTGCAGAGCTTTGTGGAACCCTGTGAAACCTCAGGGCCCACAGCCCTCGCAGAATCTTGTGGAACCCTGAAACCCTCATACAACCTTACCTCAAACTACCCCGGACCACCCCGCAGTGGGACCCTGCTAACCCTGGTGAAACCCTGGTGGAACCCTCGTGGAACCTTCCCCGGACCACGCCGCACCCTTGAAGAAATTGGTGGAACCCTGGTGGAACCCTCGTCCGGAGCACGACGGGCTGGTGGAACCCTGGTGGAAACCTGGTGGAACCTTACCTCAAACCACCTCGGACCACCCTGCAGCCCTCGCAGAACCTGGTGAAACCCTGGCAGAATTCTAGTGGAAATCTGGTGGAATTTTCGTGGAACCTTCCTCAAACCGGACCACCCCAGCCCTCGAAGAAATGGAACCCTCGTGGAACCTTACCTCAAACCACCCCGACCACCCTGCAGCCCTGGTGGAACGCTCGTGGAACCTTACCTCAAACCACCCAGACCACCCCGCAGCCTGGAACCCTGGTGGAACCCTGGCGGAACGTGAAACCTTCCTCAAACCCGCACCTCACCTCAAACCACCCCAGACCACCCCGCCCTTGCAGAACCTGGTGGAACCCTGGTGGAACCTTGGTGGAACCCTGGTGGAACCCTGGTGGAACCCCTGGTGGAACCCCTGGTGGAACCCTGGTGGAACCTTAGCTCAGGGTCGCCCCGAACCACCCCGGAGCCTATCTGGGCTGAGACCCCAAAGCTTTCAGCTGTTGGGGAATAAAATGGCCACCCCCACGTCCCTTGCGCTAAGGCCGGGGGGATATCGGAGTGCCTTTTTTTTACCGTCGGGCGCTCAGGCGCAGCCCGCGGAGTACTCCCAGGTGGTAAGACGAGAGGACGGATCGATCCCGGAACGACGGTCGGCGACCACGTGTCTCAAAGGGATCCCGGCGCCCAACTCGCCTGGTGTTGCCGTTTCATGGAGACGCCGGAACGGTGACAACTATCTTCATTCGAAAAGAACGCGGTGTAGGCATCCAATCTTCGCATCTTCCTTCAAAGTCGAGGGCCCAGAAATGTTGAGGACCCAGCACGGGCTGGAAGTTGACTGGAAGTTTGGGCGGACCAACTGGACCGACCTCAAATGTTTGTTTTTTTTGGACTTTGTGTTTTGTGCGGCAGACCACTGTAGTGGCAAACATCACTTTTGACCCATCCACCCAGGAAGTGAGTTTTGGTGTTCGCATACTAACAAACATATTGGATACCCCTCTCCCTGCCACCCCGCCCCCAAAAAAACAAAACAAAAACAAAACCACAAACAAACAAGAGATGCAAACACCAACTCAACTTGGTCCATTATTTTGACTGTTTCTGGGGGGTAGCAAACTCAAAAACTGGCTGGTTGTCTCCCTGCCAGATAGGGGTGAGTTTGCTAAGATAATGGACGCTGAAAGAACATTTGGTAACATCTCGCATCTTTGCCATGGAATGATGAACTAGGAAGCAATTTACATCCTAGGTATGGGGTTGACGGATGAAGTTTAGGGCAACTGTCGACCGCTCATGTTTTTTGTCTCCTGACAGAATTATTGGTGTGGTGACTTACTTTTATAATTTTCACCCATACCCAAATTTGAGGAACGAAGAACGGATTGTAATTAATCTTAGGTTCAGGGTGTGTTTCTCGCTGGTTCTCAGCAAGGAATGAGAAATGGAACGGCCTGAGAAAAGCCATCCACGATTTGGTTTCCTTCGGGAATCCCCAAACCCGGTTCATTCCCAAAACCCGGACTCGTTGTCATGCCCTACCTATCGCACCAGCCAGGCTTCTCTGAGAAACTCGGATGCCAAATCCTTGGATTCGCCAAGTCAATAAGTTCTTGGTAACAGTTCCTTTGTTGCAGTTTGCTTGGATGTTAGGACTTTAACTTTTTGCCAATTAATGGGTTTTCCATTAAACCACTAAAAGTTAAGCTTTTAGCAGGGAGCAGAAAGCAACCAAGGTTCAGTTATAACCCACTGAGAAAAGTCCCCCCGTTCAGATGATGGTGAACCTTGCTCGGGGGTGAGCAACCCCAAGTGGCGATCACCGCTTGCTAGCTTGGCAAAACGAACATCCAAGTAGATTCATGATGTGTTCCACGTCCGAGAAACTTGGATGGTTCTAGGGGTGCCTACCCCAGGGATCCTTCTTTCTAGAAAGCCTCCAGAAACCCGATCGGGCAAACGGATCCGGTTTTTGGAAAGAGTGATGGTTGAAAAGAAAGGAAAAGGAATCAACCACTAGAATGGTGCCTGGAACCCCAAGTGAGGCCATCACCGACGAGAGGAAAGGCGAGTCGAAAGTTCGCAAGTTCGCCAGGACCTGGGCGTGCTGCCCTCCAAGGTCTCCGTGCACCACGGCGTCGCCGCGACCAGCTTCCAGGCCCGCGAAACGACCGAAACCACCGACAAGCCCCATTGGGATTCTGGGTAGGGGGACAGAATACAGGACCCCCCCCCTCCCCCCCAAAAAGAGAGGCAGGTTTTCCTTCTGGCTGCCTTGAAAACCACGACAAGAAATACGAATCAAGGGCCCAGACTTCCAGGGCTTGTGAATGTTACTGCCAATTGTTCCCCCTTTGCTTGGCTGAAACCCAACTAGTAGTTTTTAAAGTACACTGCGCCGCTCTTATTCTTGGGTGCTCGATTCGCTAAGTTAATAAGTGTGTAGCAACCTAGGTTATAACATATATGTTTGTCCGCCATGTGCACTTACCCTGCACTGTAAAGAGGTTAGAACCTCAGAGATCGACCATTTACGAACCTTGCGAGTCGAACATCCAAGTACACCCAAAATGATGGTGTTCCTCTCAAGTCTCCCTTTGCAAAACCAGCGACAAGGGGTCCCCTCAGAACAAAGACACCGTACCCCTTCCAAGTCCGCCAAATCGAGTCTTGCGCCTTTCAAGCTGTGCCCCGAGCCGTTTGCCGCAGGCGCCGGCGCCGAGCCACGCGGTCACCGCCCAGGCGTCCGAGCCGAAGATGGGCGCGCCGGATGCCCACCGGCTCTACGGCTACGGCCAGCGGCAGGCGCGAGGAACGTGTCGACTGGTTGCGTCAAGCGAAACGGGTCAGACCCCCCATGTATTTGTTGTTTTCCGGGGGCGGGGGGCGGGAACTGTTTTCGGGAACCCCTTCTTGGGACTTAAGGGGTATGTGACCGGTATGTGTTTGTTTGGAGTGCCCTCTTTTGGTTGGGGAAGCCCAAACGAATCCTAGCAATTGGCTCAACTGTCTGGTTGTGTCAACGAAAGGGCAAGAGGCGGCCACACATGTTTAGAATGCGATTTAAACGCGTCCCGTAATTGTGATGTCCCTATTTTCAGGGTCCGACCTCTTCCTTAAGACCCGGTGTATTGGTATGTATATGTGTATCGATGTCCCTTGAACAAGAGGAGGGTCTGTTTTAAACAGATGGTGCCGAAATCTGGCCGAAATTGAAAGTCGGGTTGACAGCGTCAGTAAGGAATTGAATTGGATGACGAGCCAGCCTTTTGTCGTTGGCTGATGCGCTGCCCAGTTCATGCGGCGTCACTTTGGTGGAGTTGGGACCCCTTTGTGTGGGGATGTGTTGGGGTTCAATATGGAAACAAGATGAAGCAAACCATAATGTGAACTGCGAAAACATTCGATGAACAGCCAGGAAATCGGAGGTTGCTCTTCTGAAATCTCTGAAGATCAATGGAACGAACCCTACAGAATATCATCGTAAGTTCTGGTTGGAGGGATTTCCTTCTGTTTTTTGTGGGTTCCGTGTAAAACAAATCTAGGGTATCGGTTGAACCTCAGTTCCTCTGTAGCCGATCCAAGTCCAACCAATTCGCGCTTGGCCTTGCCCGACTTGTCACCCGCGGGGTGTTGACCATTCCAAGAAGTGCACGTGCTGATCCAAAGTGGGCTTGTCTCCATGCGGCTCGCCTTCTTTTTTTGGCGATCCGCTCAACTGGCTCCGGTGTTCCTTGGTTCTCCTTTAAGACTGACCAAAAAAGGGCACCGAGCCTCAAAAACGACTGACCCCAAAAGGACATTGAACATGAGAAGCACAAACAGGTCAGTAGTAGCAATTCTTTGGTCGCCCTTGAGCCTGAGGAAATCTGCGGTACCCCCCTCAAAATGGAATTGGGGAAGGATGATTTCGACGAATTTCCAATTCCATTCTGGGGTGTCCGGCACATTTTAGGGTTTACTACCCTAAGCACCATTGGACCCTTGAAGGGGTTAGGACCTCCGTTGGAAGGACTTGGACCTCAAAGAGGGCCTTTCTGAGGGCCCCAGATGCTTAGGATAAATTAAAGCAGACTCTGAAAATCGATGTTTTTACTTACCCCAGATGAATGGGCCACCCGCTCTCCCTGATTTTTTTTGGATGTTCAGACGAGTTAGTGTTTGTAAGAAACCTAGGTGACTTACATATTTTTGTCCCAGTGCAATTCGCCTGGTTGATAGGTAACCTGGGACCCCAACCACTTAACTTGGACTTGGCCGGACATCCAAGTAGCAACACATGGGCTTTCTTATCACCTTCTTGGTACTGCCTTAACTCAGAACCACTGAACTTGGCCGGACACGGCAGGGATTCTTTGGTGGCGGCTCAAATGAACCACAATTAAAACCCGGGCAAATGAAGGTTAAGGTATAATCCCAACCATAAATAGCTGCGGATCCGCCTTCTTCATTCTCGAAGCATGGTTCTGGGTCGCCCATTTTACTTCCCCAGAATTAGCTCCTTTTTTTTTGTTGCTTTTTTGGGGTCCCTTTGTTTTCCACTCACCAGGCAAAAATATATATATATATATATATTTGCTGGGGTCCGAAGTCCAGCCTAGTTTACTGACCGGGTTTTGATTACTCAATTGAACTTTTCCAAGCCGACTTCTGACTGCCAGGTGGCCTTTTCAGAGGTGCCCACGCGGACCGAGCACCCAAATCGAGGCGCAAAGTCGCTCGCATCCGCGCGCATCTGCGCGCGCGAGGTGTGGAGTTGTTTGGCTCGGTTGGATGCATGTCTGCCTATTTTATAGTGAGCTCGCCATTTTTCTTGCGGTTCTTTTAGTTCAGCTTTTGGAATCATAGTACAATTTGCAGATGAATACGCTTGCATGTGTTGCTTGATCTTTGTGTACTTGAGACTTATTAATACAATACGCTTGATCTTTGCATAGTATATACTGCAAATGAATACATATTATCGTACTTCTTGCGCTTGTCGCTCTTGATCTCGGTTTCCCTTGGTTGATGTTTTCTTTTTTCTCCGAGAGATTTTTCTGTGTGGCCTTCTGGGCCCTGTCATTTCCGACAGAACTGGGGGAGTTTTGAAGTCCAGGCTGTCCGCGAATGGCCAGATCCCCAAACACACGCCCTTTTCGAAGACCAAATCCGTCCAATGAAGGTCCTAGCTGTTTGGATGGGTCACCTTATAACTTTGAGGTATTGCCGAATGTCGTATGTCGGCATCAAAGCACTCTGGTGGCTTTAGGGAGGGTGTTTTTCCAGGTGATTTTTGGATTCCCTCTTAAGTGGAGCTTAGCTTTTTTTGATCAAACGGGTGTTCCCGTTACTCCTGGGTTCTCGTTACAAGAGATACATAGAGATACCATCCCGTTGTCGAGGAACCACCTCTGGGGGCGGCCAAAGTCAGCCCCCAGCACACCCAGCTGCCTGGCCTGCGAACTAGGCAGAGTCACATCTTTTTGGGTGCCCCGCAAAGAAAAACACACCGAGAAAGGGGTATGATGTACCAAGGAGCGCGTGTATGGGCCCTGAGATGGTTTGCAGTTGGTTTGACAGGCAACAGCTAGTACCGTAGAGCATTGCTTGTGGACAGTATAGCTACAGGAGGTTGTACAAGGGTCGGGATGTTCACACGTTTCAACACAGATTACCTTGAGAATAACCAACCTTACGGTGTCTTTGTGTGACCTAAATGGGTTTTATCAAATGGGTTCCTTTCGGATGCTACACACATGATTGTCCTTTGGTGCCTGGACCCCGTTGAGAACGTGCAAGGGTCTCCGAGTTTGAAGTCAATCGGCCGAAGACGTACTCCCCTGCGGTGTGGCCTCTATATGGCCGCCTTTGCGGATGGTCAAACTCTGGCCTTTTGGGTCGCCATGTTAACAGGGCTCCTTAAAAGATACATTTGCCCATTTGAAACATGGCTTTTGCCACCAAAATAAAGGGAAACCACCATTTACAAGGCAATGTTCTGGTGTACAAGTAAGGATCCCTGTGTTAAGTGAGTTTCCTTTGGTGAGTGATGTTTAATTCCGATTGATTCGGAAGACCAGGGGAGTGTCGAAAGTCCCTTGAGTCTAAATGTACATAAATGCACCCGCGGACACCATCACTTTGTGTGCTTTTCCCCAGGGGATGTCTTTCATTGGGGGAAGGGGCCACTGAAGGGCCACCCTCAGAAACCCCCGGTATTGACAGCGCAAACTCGCAGGGTGCGTTCCGAAAAGGGCCAAGGAAAGAGTTGTAGTCACAGATTTATTTGCATTTGACATTGCATTTGTGAGGTGATTAAGTTGCATCCCTCCCATTTCCGCTATTTCCATCAGCTGTTTTACTTGTAGCCTTTTTTTGAATTGGGTCATTGGATCGCTGGCCTGACAATGACAAGGGATACCACCTAACTCGGCGTCAATCAGGGGTGCAGTGCAGGATCCACCGAGTATCAGTATGTGTGGAGTTGTGATAGACGATGCGCTGCAGATAGCTCACCGCCTGAAGTACAAACTGATGATAACACCAGCTTGGGCTACAAGCTGGACGACGTGAAAGCGATTGTGGACCTCCGAGCGGCAATGTACACAGGGAACTACATGCAGTACGGCGCATTTCTGTCGAAGAAAGGCGCCATTCTGGCGAAGATGCGCGCCCATGGCGGCCACGTAGATCACCAGCTGACTTCTGTGAGGCACAAAGCGGCTTGCCTGCGCGCACTGCCAACCTGACCAACCTTACTTGTGGCAACTTGCTTTCGTGGATTTGTTGGGTGGACCCCGCCCAAACAACGAGACACAACACACACAAAAGGTTGACTACCAGTCGGTTTCCCTCAGGCGGAAGCCCTGAAAAGGGTGCCCTCCAACCAATTGACACGGCTTCACATAGGCGTCAAGGTCTGTGAAGGCCAGTTGCGTCACGGCCCTTTGCTCAATTGCCGCGAGAATTCAGCCGGGGAACAAACGCGTACGGTGCAGTAGATGGTTTGGCTACGGTATGTAGCACGTCCAACGGTTGCTTGTAGTTGTGCTACTTCAGTGTTGTTGGCAAGTTTTTAGATGTTTGCGTTTTTTTTTTTTTGTGGTTCTGTTCATTTTTAGAAGGGGTCGGCAAAAAAGCAAGTGTTTTTGCTACCATCAGGGGCTGTAAAGGCTACTTGTTCAGGCCCTTCCTGACCGAAGAAGAGCCAGCTGTCCTTTGAGAACAGCAACCAGAATTGTTTTCGTGCCAACATGGGCCCGGCTTGATAGGCCTGACGATGTTTTCCGGGAGGAACTGATAGACCCAAGGAAGCTATTTGGATCCGGTCAAAAGAATAAGGACGCTACAAGGAGCTTGTCTGTTTAACCGGTAGGATTGGCCCCCTTAATGACATTCCATCAGGCTTCTGATTCGCGAAAACTTGAGAGGTTTGATTCTGCCGACAGAACACCATGCGGCTGCGAAACGAACGGGCAATACGGCTACGGGGTGTGTGTTTCTAACCCAAAAAGGGTGCAGGGCCTGACTTGATTTCAGGAACTTGGTGCTTTTGGTGGGAGTTGAACTGGTTCTTCTTGATCAGCGGAACATCGCGGCTCCAAAAAACGGCTCCAAGAAACGGCTCCGGGAGGTGTCCACCTGGCCCACGAATACCTGGGCCTGCCTCAGCAGCCGGGCCATCAGATTGTCCACAGCGACGAGGCGCGGCTGGAATGTCGGATTTCGGGGCCCGCGGCGCCCGCCCGGGGCCGAAGTGTTGGTTCTTTTAAGGTCCTAGATAGCCAAGTTGCTGCTTTTTTCAGTCACTGTTGCTGGTTTTTGGGGTAAAGTGTATGGAAAAAAGTAGCAACTGGCGATCCAGGGTGTTTTTTTTTGCGCTGCAGGGGTCTCGCAAAAGTTGATGCTTGAGGGTAGACGAAATAGGAAACAGCTCCAATTTCGGAGGCCAGGGCGACTCTTTGGGGCGACTGGGGTCAGCACTTATGAGAAAAAGTTCGCCAGGAAGTCAAAAGAGGTCGTTTTCCCGGAGGTATTGTTCTGATTAAACTGACCATTCCCTTATCAAAAACACTAGGGACACGTGATCACACACACACACACACACGGGACATGTCACTTCAGCCACCTCGTGGAGGGTTTCGAAGCCAAAAAGGACACCGGGCCTGAAGAAAGCGGTCGGAGGGAGGTCCTTCTAAGCAGTGCCAGGGACTCTGGCAAGCAATCTGGGCAAATGATAACGGAAAGTGTGCGACCCCGGGCCCTATGATGCTTGGGATCCCCGATGTTTGATCTGTGAGTGATAGGGGACCGCCAACACCCATCGATACCCAGCAACATTGTCAATGGCTCATATGTGGCATGGTCGAAAGACCGTCTTACTTGGGGTCAACGGGGATGGTCATCCACCTGGTAGTAAGGATCTGACATGGGCCTCGCTAAGAAGGATCACCCTGTGCGATGAGGCGCGATCATTTTTGTTGCACCATAACTGGCCACCTGGAAGTTCCTTTTTGCTTCGCCCGCTTGAACCGCGGAACCATTTGAGGCACATGCTTAGCGTTTCAACATTTTGCCTTTGCGGTGTTCCATCATGGTCCTTTGCAACGGGCAAACAGATGACGTCTTGCAGGGGGGCGAAGAATCAGTTTGCGAGGAGTGGCTGCTGTACTTCAAGTGAATCAACTCATGCCTTTTGTTTTGGCGCCCAATCTGCCGTTTGGATGGGCGCTTATGACACGAATGAAGCGGACACTCTGCCGAGGAAGTAGAGATATGTTTGCCTGAAGAGGGCGCAGGGCACAGTCCAACGATGGTTTTTCCCATGTTCCAAAGCCAAGCCAATGTCCAGTCCAAAAAGGAGTTGGAGATGGAAATGCCACACTTGACGGAGGTGTGCTGATACTTAGATGTGGTTTTAAGCTTCTTGTGTAGGGAGCCATTTGTGGGTTAAAAAACACCCAAAGCAGAACACTTCTTTTAACTGGGTTCCCCCCATCTAGGGAAAAACGTGAACTGGATGGATGGTCATGACTCGTGTGTACTGGGCAGCTGCAGCAGCTTCAAGTTGGACCTCCGGGACCCCTGAAAATTGACACTACGACCTTTCGGCTTGTCGTTCTTCTTATCCGCCGGGAGGCGCCGTATATTTTCATGTGGGTCAAGCAGGGAACCAAGGAGCCGGTAACGTGCATGTGGGGTCTTCAAATAAAGATGCTAGGTCTTTGGGTGGGCTAAATGGGTTTGTGTCAAAATAGGGGACCCCTACAAAATGCCTTGGCTTTTCTCCGATTTCCATTTTCTGCCAGCCGTCTTTGGTTGCCAGGGTCTTAATATTCATATCTTTTCGCACTGGACAGTTCGTTTTGGCCGCAGGGGATTCAGAACAGCCACTGGCAGAACACGGGGCCCTTCCTTCGGATCCATGACGGCAACTACTGGAGCTACCAGGATCCGTGCGCGCGTCCAAAGAAGGAACGCCGTCGCAAGGTTTGCAACGGCTGTTGCTAAAGAGGTCTAACATAGAATGGGGGTGTGGAGTTGGAGTAATTACTTCAAGGTCCACTTAAGCCGGGATCGTAAGATCATGTTGTAGCTAGTGACTTGCAAGTCTCGTCATGTTTCCTTGTTGGCTCTTTGGCTTGAACGCCCCACAAACCAGCAACTCGTTTGGTTTATCCTCTTGCTTCCTGTTTGGCCCAGGCCTCTGGTGTCCTGTGTGCGCATTCGTTTTTGGAGGGCCCGGTCTCTCAAGAAACAAGCAGACGACCATGAAGGGGAGCCCCAGCAGGGTGTCCTGCTAACCTTTAGATGCGTCGACACAGCGGAAACTAGGACTTGCAGGTTCGATGCTTGCAGGCTCCCTATGTGTTGGAGGGGAGAAGGTCCGAGCAAAGAGCAACCGCTCCCGCGGCGTCTCTCTTCAGATCCTCCGAACTTCTGGCCGGGCGCTTTTTTCAGGGGCCGGCCGGTGTTCCTTTGAACCCAAGCAAAGGGCTCCCCGCAAAAAGGCGAGCCCATATGAAGGTGTCAAAGGGGGACGCGCAACAAGACGGTGTTTTTCCTTAGGCTCCCTTGAAACAAACACAAAAACCGGCGCCCTCGCAAAGACATAGACCCACATAGAATTGCACAGGCCTCATTGAGACATGAGTCCATCTTCCTTTCAAAAGCGGTCTGAGCACCAACCTCTACAGAAATCCAGAACCTGCCCCCTTTGTTGGAGCAATACTTTAGACAGGCTTGATACATTTCTTAGTGTTGATGACTTTGTGGTGTTTAGAGGAGAGAAATCGCCTTCCCTTTACCTTTTGTTTCAGTTTCCCTCTTGAAAAGTCGCTTGTATATACTCTGCGTGTGAAAGATAATTAAGCCTTGACATGAGTCCATCAAACAATTCTCTGCATGTTGCCTACCTTTCATTAAGCACTTGTCAATGAAGGAGAACGACTGGAGGTCTAGCTCTTGAGTTTTATTCACCGTGCGCTTCCAGCAATAATAGCTTAGAACAAGCCGCGTTGTTTTGCCTGCTTCCAACTCGTCCGTTTAACTGTTTGCCAGCTTACATCTTTCCTCTCAGAACAAAAACACACCAACTGTTTGCTGACAAACTGTTTCCCAGCCTTAACAAACAGAATCGCAAAAGCACTCCCCACGCTTTCGCCCTGCTTTTGGCTCACTGCAATTTCCCCCCTCCCAACCCACCTTCCATTTGCTTAAGACTATTTTTTATTTTCCCTTGTTGGTTTTAAAAGGAACTTATCACTACTGGACATACTTTATTACATTTTTTCTTGGGGTCTGAACCAAATGGAAGCCCCACCTGCCATTTCCCACCCCCCCACCAACCAACCCACATTCTTTACCGGGGAAGACGTGGCCCGTGGCCGGCCGTGGAAACGTCGAAGCGTCGAAGCGCCAGGACCGCGGCGAAGCCCTGCAGGGCGCGGATTGGCGCCAGGCCGTGGACGTGCTGGGCATGGCGGACGCGCGAGGCGCGGATTCGCGCGAAGCTTCGGACGGATTCGAGGCCTTTGACACTGGGTGTGGGTCTGTGGGTCAAGGAAATGGTAAATGGAGCCCAAAATGGCTTGCCCTGGTAAGAAATGGTCAAAGAACCCAAAATGGCTTGCCCTGGTAAATGGAAAGGACTCAAACCTGCGGCCCCCTGGTGGATTATTTTTGACCCAGATCATACCCATCTGGGCTCGTCTCCTGATTTGGTTGTTGGGCAGCAGCGCGATTGGTCGGAATACTACTGTGGATGGACAAAATCCGTTCGCACCAGTTTGAAATCATGAGAACCCAGTGTTTGTTGGTATTTACAGGGGAATCATCATTCCAGGGATTCTGAGGTGGTGCAACAGTTTTTTCCATCCACAGTATGGCGACCCTACTCGACATGAAACAACAATTTACAAGCGTTCCAAAAGGAGAGGACTACTTGAGTGGTCGGTCTTTTTTTGGGTCTCCGTTCACTGGGTCATAACCAAGGTTACTACTAACCACTTACCTGAGGTACCGAATCGGTCGCCCCTTTAAGTAGGGATGGATTTCCCCATTCCGTTCAACCACTTTTAGTTTTTGAGAAACCGGGTTTGCCCGGAAGCAAGGATCCCTGGTGTTGTTTGTTTCAGGTGTACTTGGGTGTTCGGCCAAGTTAATGAGTGGTTGGCAACCTAGGTGTCAACCTACTTATTGTTGCCCAAGTGCACTTAGCCTAGTTGTAAATAGGTTATTTAATGGCCTGCGGCCTGGTTCCGCCGCCCCCACACACCTTAGAATTTCGGCCCGGGACGAGAGAAAGCACGCGATATGTAGACAGACACAGACAGACACAAAGACACGCAGACGGACACGCAGCGGGGGGGGAGGGTCTTCGCGGACACGAAGACAGACGCAGATGCGCAGGCAGACGCAGACAGAGCCAGACAGACACAAAGACACGCGGGGGGGGGGGGACACGAAGAAAGACGCAGATACGTAGACAGACACAGACAGACACAGACAGACACAAAGAGACAGAGACAGACACGCAAGGGGTCTTCGCGGACACGAAGACAGACGCAGACAGACCCAGACAGACACAAAGAGACACAGACAGACACGCAGGGGCAGGGGGGGTCTTCGCGGACACGAAGACAGATGCAGATACGTAGACAGACATAGACAGACACAGGGGGGGGCGGAGGGGTGGGGGAAGACTACCCGAAGCCTAGGGAAGAAGCCCGAAAGCCCAGGACACGCGCGTTGTTTGGTCCCGAAACAGTATCGGAAGACTGGGAGAAGAAGCCGGAAGATTACGGAAGACTACGGGAAGAAGCCGAAAGATTGCGGAAATTTACGGGAAGAAGCTTGAAAGATTTCGGAAGACTACGGGAAGAAGAAGCCGGAAGACTACGGAAGACTACTGGAAGAAGCCGAAAGATTACGGAAGATTACGGGAAGAAGCCGGAAGACTACGGAAGACTACTGGAAGAAGCCGAAAGATTACGGAAGATTACTCCGGAAGACTACGGAAGACTACGGGAAGAAGCCGGAACACTACGGAAGACTACGACAGGGACTACGGAGGACTGGGGATCAGAATCCAGAGATCCAGAAATCCAGAAATCCAGAAATCCAGCCGACGTAGAAACCAGCCCCAAGGGCCGCCCCAAGGGACATATAGGTTATATATATATATATATACATAATCATATTCACATTAAACTTATAGAAAGCATATCAACAAAAGCAACACAGAACACACCGCCCCCATGCCGAAAGCATGGTCCATTCTGGACCAGGCATGGGGTCGGCGGATATTCTAGGATACCCATCACTTACTAGCCTGGCCGAACATCCAAGTACCCCCCCCCTTTTCCCCGGCACAACAAAATGACATGAAATGATTGTGTTCCTTTTGGTTTCCCCGAACAACCAGACAGGGGGTCCCCTCAAAAGAAGACACCACGTTTTGCTGTTTCTCAGGGGAGGGAATGACCCCAGGCATGCAATGTATTGCTTACCCTCCCTCCCAGATGGTCCATTTTAAAGTAACCATGGTCTTCCAGGACCCCTCAGTCACGTTCCATGTTAGTGGACAGGAGGGTATGTCGTGGAAGTTCTGGTGTTTTCGAGTTGATTCCATACAATAGATAGTAGATCCTTAACCCTCCATGATGGCAGTGTTTACCTATTGAATGAAGTGGAATAATTCAGCAACAAAACAAAGTAACAAATCAAAAGTATAAATACGACAAGTCAAGGTGTTTAATGATTTATTGGCTCTTCCTTTTTATAAGTTTATTAATATATGCTCCCATTTCTCACCTTCTTGTCCCTTTCTATATCTCCTTCACTCGCCTACCACCCCTCGTGGTTTCCCTTTGGATAGGTGATTCCCAAGATGATTACCCGAGAGCCTTGGCAAATCCAGTTGGACGAAATCCTTCCTGGGCGCCGTTCCGAAGCCCCACGGTGTCGGATCATAGACGTCCCTTTCGGTTGTTTTGGTCGAACAAATATGAGAGGGGGGCCCCCCCCTCAGCGTGGGTATTTTCCATGTGAAACGAGTGTTTTTCCAAAGTGGGGTTGTGTGCGGTTATGTGTGTTCTGAAAAATAGATGGGTTTCGATTCCTGGTTTGCCTGGTGGTGCAAGATCATCCAGGGAAATCCATCTATTTCCCCTAGAAGGACACCCAACGGTTTCGGATACGATTACGTAAGTACCAGACCTGATGGTTTGAACCATGACTTCATTTCGCGACCGGACTTCGTCCGCAGTACTGGCTTGGTCGGAGTTTCTTCATATTCGGCTCCGGTTTTTTTGGGGCTCCAACCTGCACCGTTGGTGGTTTGTCTGGTTTTGGGGAACCCCCTTTGGTTTTCAAAGGAAGCCGGCGGTTATGTGGGGTCCCCTATTATGAGACACACCTGTTCGGCGCGTTTCAGCATGGCCGGTCTTTCGGATTTCGACCTTTCCCAGACGCACGGCTGCAACAGATGTGTTTTTTTTCATATTTGTGGGAGGGGGGTTCCGTTGGGTTATGTTTCGTTTTTCTCCTGGGCCACTGGATGTGTGTGTGTGTGTGTGATCGAATGGCCTCGGTGGACCTCTTGGAGACAAGAGGTTGTCCGGGGAGGCTTGGAGGACCCCAGTCATACCGAGCGTTGTGAAAAAAAACGCTCCCGTTTTGGACGGTTGTGCTGAGGCTGCCATTTCAAGCAAATACCGAAAAGGGCACCCCCGTGCGATGGACAAAAACCACCTTACGTTCGGTTGGTAGGCACAGTTTACGGCGTATCTTAAACCCTGTAGAGCACATCAGTCGACTTGCGACGTGTGTGTGTGTGTGTGTGTGTGTCTAGCAGCTTTCAAGACATGCCTGAGTGATGTAAGCCTTCCTCTTTATGGGTCCTATGTGCGGCTCCCTGCAGGGAAGACGAGCAGGACGTAGGTCCTTTTCTCATCCCTCGGTTTTGTTTGAAGTTTTCTATGAGGTTCCTTGGAGGAAGGCCCACTCATGGCTCGAGAGATGCCATCTCTCGCATGAGACAAAGTCCATCCCACAGATTCAGGGATACGACGCCAAATGCCTGAAGGTTCCTTGAAGATTTCTGACTTTCCGTACCTGCCCTGATGATTCAGAGCCGAGGGGCCTTGGCTCCGAATCATGGGATGTTTTCCTGATTGAAATGGCTTGGAATCGCGAAACCGCACTGGGACGGGCCAGATGCGCTCAATCTCGGTTCAAAGTCATACCTAAATGGCCATGGTTCAAAATCAATGGTACCATTTTGGGATAGGTGCACCACCCATTTTGGTCTATTTTAGTGGGGATTGGGATGTTCACTGGGGGGTAACCGGGTTTTGACCCATGGCCAAATGCCAGATGGTCATGCTTGCCCTTGTTGTCGTGGTGCTCTTGGGATTGCGGAGGAACATCGCCCCCATGTTGAACAACCCAATTCGGTTGCGACGCACGGCGCACTTCCCGCCCCTTTCCGCCAGGGATACCCGTCGCCCGGCGCCGTCAGCCGGACTTCCATCGCTTGCGGCACGGACAGCAATGGACATGGGAAGTTCCTCGGGCCTTTCTGGGCAGTGTTACCTATAGTAGCGCCCTTTTACCCTTTTTTGGGCGAGGGTTCCCCTACGAAAATAGACTACAGCAAAAAGGGTACCCTTATTCTAACCTCTACTGGAGGACCTGGCATGGCAACCATTGGGTCGTTTAGCTGGGATGGTCATTAGGGAGACTGTCAATAACAGATTCGACTTTCACCACGTGGGAAGAGCTACCCATGGTCGTTTTGGGGCCGCACGGACGATTGATCAGCCCCAATTTCAGGTAGCCGACTTGTTTGAATCCAGGGGTTGCTATTTTAGGGGAACATCAGCCTGGCTTTCTCTGCAGCTGGGTCCCTTAGAGCAGTTGCACTCTCGGGGCTTCTCCAAATTACTGTTTTCGAAGGCAGGAAACCACGCTGAGCCCACCGTTTAGAGTGCAAAGTTGAGGGGTGGTGTATTATTTGCAGATTGTTTGTCCCGCTGGAATTGTCTTGTTCCAAGCAAGCAAGCAAGCACGATCCTGAACCAACCGACCTAAACCCGCCCTAAACCAGCATCCTAAACCCACCAACAACCATGACCCCAAGCAAACAAGCGGCCTGCAAGGGATATCTTCAGTAACATGTCAATATTCAGAAGAGATTGGACACCAACCTTCTTCAGACCACTCATCAAAACGTCCATTTGCGGTTCAGAATATTTGTTCTATTTCTGCCTGTTGGTAATACAGGGAATCTATCACTGGAGATAGTCTTTATTTTTCCAGGCGACAAAACGCAAATGGAGGAAAAGCCGGAGGGTGTCCATTTTCAAAGTACCGAAATGCACCGAGCATAGAAGAACCCAAACACCAGATACACCAAGCTGAAAGTGGCATCCTCAATGTTGATCTTTTTTCCGGGACGGTTTATGTTAGGTGGTTTTAGGGTGGGTTTAGCTTGCCTGCTTGCTTGCCTGCTTGCCTGCTTGCTTGCCTGCTTGCTTGCCTGCTTGCTTGCCTGCTTGCTTGCCTGCTTGCTTGCCTGCTTGCCTGCTTGCTTGCTTGCTTGCTTCCCTCCCCTCCCCTCCCTCCCTCCCTCCCTCCCTCCCTCCTTCCTTCTGTGCTTGCTTCGTTGCTCCCTTCCTTCCTTTCTTCCTTGCTTACTTGGTTGCTGGGTTAGTTGGTCAGTTGCTTGCTTTGCGGACTGTTGCTGAAGCGGGGTAAGCCGCAGTGGCATTGTTCGCCCCGCGCCGCAAGGTATCAACTTCGCAACTCCTGAGCCAGCGGTTTGCCTTTCAGAATGGTTGTGGAAGCTGGTTGACCTCCACCCTCCAGCGCCCTGTTGGCCCACCGTTTTTACAGAGGCGAAACTTTTTTCATGAATCTGTCCTTCCGCCCTTCTCTGGCAAGCCTTTCTTTCACCCATCTCCGACATGCTTCCAGCCAGGTCGTGTTGTTTGTATCGCGCCTTCTTTGGCTTTGATTCTTGCTCGTTCAGATTATGTGATACCCTTGGGCAATCCTATCTTCCATCTGCTTAAGAACATGTTTATTTATTTTCCCTTGTTGGTTTTAAAAGACTGTTTTTTTTTTTTTCCAGGGGTCCTAACCCAATAAGCTATTGGAAGGTTGCCACTTCGTTTGAGGAATGGCTTGGTCACCCGTGCAGCCGCAAGGATGGAAGCTGGCAGAAGGCCCCCCCCCTGTAAATGAGCACGGAACTTGGCCCAGATCTGGGGTTTGCAAAAATCTACATATGTCCTGATGATTCATACTTAGCTAACCCTAAATTTTGCCTAGAAGCGAGCCGCAAAAGGTGAGTGAGAGGGAGAGTAGTTTCCACACCCAGGCGCAGAAATTCCCACGCGAAAGTGGAGAGAACCTTGGCCCGTCAGAAGGGACCTGCGTCACAATCCTTGTGTTTAGGATGCAGATTTGGCACGCGTCGCTCAACGAAGTGCCGCGGCAGGCACTTTGCACATGGCGAGGAGTGACGGAAAAAAAAGGCTGCGGAAACCGTGCTGACTGCCCGTTGGTGGGTTTTAAGGGTCTCCCCACGAAGACATACCCAATCGCACCTGTGAAGTCATCAGCGGTCCCATCTTTCTATTGGCTTGGAGGCTTCCCTTGAGGTGCTAAGGGCTCCAAAATCCATTTCAAGGGATTGCGCTCGTCCAAGAGAGGGACCTTTTCGGTTTTCCTCTTGTCCCTTTAAACCAAGAAGGTTGCAGAGCCTCAAAAGCCCACACCAAGGTTCTAAAAATGTGGTGCACTCACATTTTATCGTGTGGTCCTTGCCTTGTGCTTGGGGGATGTATCCTCCAATTGAAAGTCGGACCAGGAAGTTCCTTGGTCGGAGCTTCTAGCTTCTTTTTCCCTTTTGGGTGGCAGGCCGGTTCGAGCGCACTCGCGGAGTTCCTGGACTTTTTTTGGGGGAAACAAACAGTTTTCTAGGGGTTGTTTTTGTTCCCATTCTTTCGATCCATCGTTCTTTTCAAAAACCGGCCGTGCTCCCTGGGTTTCCGGAGGTTTGCTAGAAAGAAGGATCCCTGGAAAGACTGGGGAAGGTACCCCTAGAAGTTTGGCGACTTGTTCGGCCAATTCCCACTCGATCGGACGCGAGCGAGTGGCTCTTCAAAGGGCCCAAGATTTGGGCGCGCCGCCCGGGATCTGGCTTGGCTTTGAATGGTTTTGGACCCTTTGGTGGCCAAAGGGCTTAGGCTCTTTGGCGAATCTGCTGGGAGGGCAAGACCGATTGAAACCCGGGAAAACCAAGCCAGGGGGTAGGTATGCAGGAAGACTAGTTGAAACTGGTAAACGAATAAACGAAGAGTTTGGAACATCTTTTGTCCAATCCACTCAATTGATTGTCGCCCGAAAGAAGTAATTGTTCAGAACCTTCCGGGATCTTCCGGGTAAGTGTGGGCGGGCAAGTGGGTGGGGACCTTAGGTTTCTCCCTTGACACTTGAGCGTGCATTGTGGGCATTACTTTTGTTTTTGTGTTCTGTACTTTTGAAACATGTTTTTGTCAACATCTTCAAACAACCATTTTGGTTTCCCTTCAAGCAGCAAAATCTGCGGTCTCCAATGCTTTTGTTCTTTGAGGTTATATACACTTTCAAGGTCTTCTTTTTGGTGTACCCAGGGTTTGTGCCAAAACCGTCCTCCCAAACAATTTGAAAGCTCGAGGGTCGACAACATATGAAATAGAACCCATGACTTTCTGTGTAAGGGTCCATGAGCAAACATGGGTCTCTGAACATGCTCTAAACTGTACAGAAGTAGAATGACGTAACTTGGCGTATGGGGAGGGGGGGTAGTATTTGTGTATATATACATATACATATGGGTATTAAATGTAATTGCCCCCCCTCCCTCGTTTGGGTGGTGGTTCCGCCCGCGCAGGTGCCAGCCTCCAAGAGGCTCGCGCGGTTTGGGGGGGGGGGGGTCGGGGCGGTCGACGGTCGGACCGCCGCGTGTGTTGACCACTTATCCTCTTTTCCAACTAGTCTTTGCTGTGGTATATTGAGAAAAAGGTCTTTTTTAGTTATTTCTTGGTGTTTGGGGTGTTGTTGTTTTTGTAGTTTTCCTTTTTGGCAGGCTCTTTCAGCTTACAATTTTGATTTGGGTCGGAGTCGGATTTGGCAAAAGTCCCCGATGGAGTTGTCCATCTGCACGAAGCCCAACTGGTTGACGACTCACGTTATATATATATATATATATATGTTCGTTGGCGACGATACAACATGAGTTGCACCTGTTGTTTCCTCTTCAAGAGATCCTGCATACCCTGAAATCTTCTTGAAGCCTGACCAAGTTGGGACCTCCAGCTACGAGCAAAGAGAGTTTTCCGGAAATGTCTCTTTTAGGGTCCCCGTCTTTCTTTTACAAGCACCCGTGCCATGAATCCAGCGGGGGTTCGCGGATCCAAGGCAAACCGGCTGACCTTCCGCCCCGTTTCCAGGGTCATGGGAACCGAACCGGAGAAAGGTTGCCGCGGGAAAGCTTGTGATGTGGGTGTGGGTCAAATTAAACCGCCAGGAATTGGACTGCAGGTTTTAGTCCATGTGTCCATTTGCCAGGGCAACCCATTTTGGGTACCTAGTTTTGACCCACAGCCAAATGGGTGGTTGCTGGGTGTCCTTGTGTTTAGGAGTGATTGAAGTGAACCGGGAGTCTTCTGACCCTAGAGGGGAGATGTACCCAGAGCCTATGGCCTGGAAAGTGTTCTCATGTTTCATTGCCAGACTTGGCTTGCCGTTTGAACATTATATGGATGTGGTTTGTTTTGATGGTACCCTTCGTGTTTTTTTCTTTAAAGGTGCACAGAAGCACCACCAATTTGCAGGGTCAGCTATTTTGAGACAACCCCATAAATGACTTGTTTACCGCCTTGTTGGCGTTCCATGATGTTTTCAGCTTCCCTCCAGTTGCCTAGTTCTTGCAGAGGGTACATGGACACCATGTCCGGAACAGATCCAAACCACCAAAGTTTCACTCAAAGCCAGTCCTCCCCCCCTCAATGCGCGTTTCCCATGTCCGGAATCCTAAGTACCGACACCAAAAAGCCGTTGGAAATCGGCGGCAAGCCTTGGTTGCATTTTGCTTGGATGTTAGGACTTTAACTTTTTGCCAATTAATATGTGTTCCATTTTGTCCACTAAAAGTTGAACTTTTAGCAGGGGAGCAGAAAGCAACCAAGGAAGCTGCTTCTGTCCTTGGCAAGTCCCTTTCGGGGGGCTGGCGGCTAGCTGCAGGCGCCTTCTCGAGAAAGCGGCGGCGAAACCGAAGCCGCCTGGTCGGAAGTGGAGGGGGCGGGGGGTGAGCTGAATTCTTGCGCTCGAAACCCAACCAACGGTAGGGTGGCTCGTCTTTTTTTTTTGAGGGAACCCCTTCTTGAGGTGTTCGAGGAAACTAACCCGTCGGGAAACCCCAAAAGAGCCCCTTTTTTTGAGACACCCTGTCGGCTACTGCAGGTTTGGTCCCTATCTAATAAGGGTTATTATAAATCCGGTATATATACATATATACCACGATTTTCGAGGGAGCCGATTTGAGACACACTGTTGGATGTTGTAAGTGGTTTGATCCTCCTCATCTGGTTAAATAAGGGTTATCGTATATCCTGTATAGAACACAACAAGTATATGGCTGTGGGTCAAAACCAATGGTACCATTTTGACAACCCATTTTAGTCTATTTTAGCGGGGATTGGGATGTTCACTGGGGGTACGGGCTTTTGACCCATGGCCATACATATACGTGTATATATATTATATATATATAGAGACATATATTTGCATGCATATATATGTACATATACATGTTTTAGGGCTGCACCTTGTGATTGGGCACTGCTTGGTTTGGTATCACTTTCGTGGTTTGGGGGGAGTGGGCGTGCGAACTGCATCCCATACACCAGGCGCCCCAACAACAACTTTTTCCCATGTCCAACATCCCGAGAACGGTAGCCAAAACAAGCATTTGTTGCTGTAGAACCAAATGTCCGACTTTCAACTTTTACTGGCTGGTTGAGAAGGGGAGGGATCGCTGAGAAGGAGTTGTTTATGGATGGGAACCACCCCGACGGAATCTGCTGCAAGAGATGTTCCCTAAGGTTCCTCTTGTCAAGCAGAAGGGGTAATGTTTTTATTGTTGTTGTTTTTTGCGTGACCACTGGCGGGGCTTCCGAGATTTCTCTTTTTGGAACCTCCGCAAGTAACTGCCTGAATGGAAACCGCTGCTAAATTGCAACCTGTGGAGGGAAAAATAGTGACAAATGGCCTGTACTGTGGATGAACGAAAACCATTTCGCACCACTTGGGGCGTGGTCTCTATCAAAATCGTATACGGCTGTTTCATCTGCCCCATGTGCCGATCGGCTTGGGATGTTGTTCTTAGGTTTTAGGTTGTGGGCCCACTGAGCCACGAAAGGTTAGGTTTTCTTAGCAGGGTATCTAGGAACAGCCCAGGAAAGAGCTCCCAGAAAGACGCCTGGGTCGGCAGATCTCATGTTTCCTTCGGCACAGCTCCTGGCTCTTTCCGACTTTTCCGTGGCCAGTCAGTGACACAGACACAACGCAGGTAGGTGAAGAACCTGGACACCAATCCCTGGTAGAAGTGTTGAGGCGCATTTGGACTGGAAAGTACCAGCCATAGGAATCTTTCGTGAATACCATGACAAAAATCCCGTTCCAGATTGTTTTCCATTATCAGCTCGGTTTTGTTTTCCATGTGGCTTGGATTGGTGGTTCGGTGGTTAGGGGTGGTTTTCGCATTTATCCCCCTCCCCCCTCTACAACGAGTAGGGGTTCAAATCACCAATGCGGCCACCATCTAAGGGGGTT